TGAAAGGTGTGCCTGTTGACACGTCTGGAATGTTCCATGCCTTTCATAATGAATTTAGGTGTTGGGTTATATGGTATATGTACAAAGGTTCAGGATAAGGGATATCATTCTCTCTACCATGCTGTTATTACTTTCGTGCATCTAACAAGCAGTTTTTATTTTCATGCATTTTGTAGCTTATTTGTGTTTACTATTTTCTATCATTACTGGATGTGTTGGATTGGGTTTTCAAATTTTCATGTTGTTTATTATAGATTGTGTAGCTTTAGAGTTTGGTTTTGTTAAGATATACTCCGTGCTGATTGGTCCCCCAAGTTCTTTACTAGCTATATGATATCTTTTCCTACAGTTGGCTTCATCCATCATGCAATCAAATATTATATGGTTGAGTGTTCCTGTTTGTCCACAAACACAGTTTGGGTTGTCGGTAATCCCAATCTTATTACGATGCAATGGTGTGAGACAGTGATAAGTCCTCATTCTTGTAATGGTTGTTATAATTTCTCTACTTTTATACTTTGTATTCGTGAACCATGGTTTCTCTAGCGGTCTTGGTTCTAGTCTTTCATAGTATTTTCCCTTCCCTCGTTGCCATCCAATGTATAACTGTTCCCATTTTTTTTTAATGTTTGTTTTTCCCTCGTTTGCGAATCGTCTTGCATCAATCATATTTTGTTGATTAACTATTTGTAGATTTCTTCCCCTCATTGCCAGTCTGTCCGCTATTTCATTTCCTCTGATCTCAGTGTGGCTTGGAATCCACATAATTTTTATATCCCCATTGTTCATTTTTAGGATTTCTTGTCTTGTTGAAAGGGTTATGTAATCGCTTTCTTTATTTATCCCCGTTTTTATAATTGCCTGAATTGCACTAAGGGAGTCGGAGATTATAAGTATTTTTGACGTAACTTCTTAAATTATGTTACATGAAAATGAATCTGCGCTTGCGCGGCGTAATGCCAACCTTGTTTACAACAACAAAATTTGCCATCGAATATTTATAAGGAGATACACAGGATGGGGGTGGTCAGACCTTTTAACATGGCTGTGGTCCTACAAAAGGCCAACAGCAAGATATGGGAACTCATATTTAAATTCATTAACATTAATAAACTAAACATATAGCAGCGGAAGTGAAAAAAAAATAGTAAAATACAAATTAAAAAAAATAATAATAATAATAATAAACAAATAAACATACCAGAAAAGTAGCAATATTAGTGTAACATTACACGAACGAGTTAACAAGATACCTGAAATCATGCAGATACACCACCAAGGACAACATTAGAACAGGGGAAGCCATAGGAATTCCTAGACCCACCTTCCCCAGCGACCCAGGGAAACCAAAGAAGTACAGCTGGCCAAGTCCCGGAAGGGAAAGGCCATAACACCCAGAAGAAGAAGAAGAATATTTATAAAGGATAGTTTATTGTTTTGTGCTTAAAATCTTTTTATTGTGCTTAAAATCATGGTCTTATATATAAGACCGTGCTTAAAACTAAACATAATTATCATTTAGTCAACCACAGTCTTGCCAATATCTGTTTCAAAAAACACCATGTACTAAATGTTGTATAAATGGCACAATTACATTAAATTACTTTATGTTACATTAAATTATGTTAAATGCTGACCAAATCCAGCTTAAGACTAAATCATAACCTTAATTAATTGACTGCATTTTTAATCTGGAGCATATTACCTATTTAGGCGGAATTACAAACATTATGTACCTTACATTTACATAAGATTAATTGTAATCATTTAAAAAGTAAACTATTATTAACAAAAAATAAAATTTTAACAGTTATAATATAAAATTTAAGATTGTTGAGAAGTAAATTCAATAATAAAGAATAATGTTGGACGGTGTCCAACCAAAATGATCAATCTGATATTCTCGTCTCATGTGTCGTGAACCAAACTAAGATTTTTTTTATCTTGAATCAAAAACAGGATCATGCTTAAACTTTACCAGAATTTTCTTTATTGTGCAAATATACTGTAAAAATTTCGTAAACTTCTCATATAATTGAATTTCCTTTTCAACAACCTTAATAAATAAAGGTAATTTACCTTTGTTATGTTGTTTTATCATAGTCCTAGAAAATTTTTTGGCGTAGTACTATTTTTTACAATACCTTTATTAAAAGATCTGCAGAGTGAGGCGAAAGTGGCGGATTTTATACGAATTTTTTTTTATCCCTATCTTGAACCAAAAACAGGATCATGCTTAAACTTTACCAGAATTTTCTTCATTGTGCAAATATAATGTAAAAATTTCAAAAACTTCTGATATAATTGAATTTCCTTCTCAACAACCTTAATAAATAAAGGTAATTTACCTTTGTTATGTTGTTTTATCATAGTCCTAGAAATTTTTTTGGCGTAGTACTATTTTTTACAATACCTTTATTAAAAGATCTGCAGAGTGAGGCGAAAGTGGCGGATTTTATACGAATTATTTTTTTTATCCCTATGGAGGAAAAGTAATAACGTAGCGGGATAAATTAGTATATTGTTTACCGAGCGTGGAATCATATAAATTAGTATTATAATAGTATTACCTACTATGTACTTTAGTACAAGTTGCAGAAGGCCACAAATTCCCGCACGAATTTTAAATTAGTCCACGTGCGAGGATAGGCTTCTGCGACGAGTGTTTTATACTATTTTCTTGATTTTGCCTTTTATTAATTTTTTTTAAATTTTTTGTGGTTCTTAGTTGGGATTAAAAAAAAAAAATTTCAGTTGAGAACACTTTGTTACTAGGTAACTGACAGGTGGATTTTATTTACTATTGTATACAAGGTGTCTCTAAAATTATTGGCATAAATTTAGGAAAAGATTGAGCAAGTCAAAAAAAGACGAAAACCCAAATAAATGTTTTTCCTAATTACTTATGTTTCCAAGATACAGGATGATAAAGTGTTACTTATCATATCAGTTTTTTAATATAACTTCTACTGGTAGACTTGGAAAGGTGATATTTTGCGAACAGTCACTTACTACCAAAACACATAATTATAATTGTTTGAGTGAACACAGTGTCGTAGAAACGAGGGTTGCTTTAAGGTTATTGTCCCATACAAACTTTAAGGTTATGTTTTTATAACACTTTATGCAATTTTTAGATTACACAGTTTGGCTACCATTAAAAAGTTGTCCCTCTCAAACTTCGATAAAATAAACCGTTTCCGAGATTACAATAATTGTTATATCACATTATTTAAAAGGATTAAAAGGTTTATTGTTTAATTGAAAAAACTAAAAAGAGCATTCCATGAGCCTCGGGACTTTTTGCCCTGACCGTCACATTAAAAAAATTGTAATTTTTTCAATTAAAAAATTTGTTATCATATACCTTCTAGTCCTTTAATGCGGTATAACAATTATTGTAATCTGGAATATCTCGGAAACAGTTTAGTTTATCGAAGTTTGAGAGGTCCACCTTTTTAATAGTAGCCGAACTGATTAATCGAAAAATTGCATCAAATGGTATAAAAACCTAAACTCAAAGTTTGTATGGCACAATAAGCTTAAGCAACCCCTGTTTCTATGACACTGTGTTCACTCGAACAATTGTAATTATGTGTGAATATGTGTGGTAGTAAGTGACTGTTTGCAAAATATCACCTTTCCAAGTCTACCACAGTAGAAGTTATATTAAAAAAACTGATATGATAAGTAACACTTTATCACCCTGTATCTTTTAAACATACGTAATTAGGAAAAATATTTATTTAGATTGTCATCTTATTTTGACTTGCTTAATCTGCTCCTAAATTTATGCCACTAAGTTTAGGGACACTTTGTATACTTTTAGCAGCGTAAAATGTCTTAAAAATAGATATGGGCGTTTCTCTGTAAACTGGGCAACTTGAAGTAAGAAATTGTCTAGGCAAGTTTTTTTGTTATATTTTTGTTGTATTTAATAAATGTTATTCGAGGAATAAATATCGGTATATTTATTAGTATACGGCAGATGAACCAAAAATATTCCTATTACTTTGGAAAACATTGAGCATTTTCTGAAAAATCTATACAGGGGACTGTTTATAAAATCCGGAGATAAAGTTTAGATGACTTTTTTAGAATTAATAATAAAATAATAAATATAAAAAATAAATAAGTCATAGTAACAAGCAAACAATATTGGTTGAATAATTAAACAATTAGGTTGATTCCAATAGTTACTGTCTTTAATTAATTTAGTCTGAAGTGACCATTTTGCTTTGGTGACACGTCAGGGGACTGGTTTTTAAGGACTATAAAAACGATTTTGATACATTAAAGTTTATTTTATTGGATTTTGAACGTCGAGCATAGGTAGATTAGGTTATTATCTTTTGAAGTTATCTATGAAATATTTATGATCTGTTATTTTTCTAAACAATATTAGCTTGAGACAATGAGTTGCCCAGTTTACAGAGAAACGCCCATATAATCAGAAACCTAATTAGAAAATAATTTACTTAAAAAAATAGTTTTTATGAAACATTTGAAATTTTCTTGAACAAGTATTGTCCAAGTTAATTCGTGTTTTCTATTTTTTAAATAAATGATACCAGATTAACAGGTTTATCAGAAAAGTAGCCACTTAGATAATATTGCCGCCCAATTTTTTATCCACGTTTACATATATTTTTTTTAATAAACGATACACGTTTAATAAATATGAAAAAAGACATGAGTTAAAAAATAGGCCAACATATCGTCACCCTAATATAACAAGAAGTATGTTTAAAAAAACAAAAAATTAAGGTGTTTGTTTCTACAGGATTATAAGTGGCCTAGGCTTCACATACGACTTAAAAATAATTCTACATACGTATATATATGTAGAGTTATTTTCAAGTCGTATGTCCAGGGTGGGTCACATAAAACCTTGAAAAAACGAACTCAAATTTATCGGCTTTTTAACATACAACGTTGTTATATTAGTTGTTATATTAGGTTGACGAATTGTTGTTGATAAAAATGTAAATAAAACTCACCTTTGGCGGATTAATAAACCTAGGAAAGAAGTAAATCTCGTCTTCAGTCACCTCTCCACTATGTTGATATTTCTTCAACGATTCGTTGGGTAATTTTCGGATTTGTCGGTTTACTTCATCATACATTGACGTACATATAAATACATCGGATTCGGGGATCTCCGTCGGTCGACCTATTAAATATTTTTTTATGTTTTAATGCTAAAACATAACAAGTCTTTTGCTTACATGAAATGTAGTCGTTATAGTCTAAAACGCAACATTTTCCCATAATGCTGACCAATGGGTTCGCGTCCTCTAACGAAGACATAAATACTTCTTGTTTGTAAAATAATTTATTTTGTGATTGAGGCATCTCCGATGGTGACACAAACCAAGGACCACGGAAATAGCTTTTTCCACTAAAAATAAAAATAAACATAAATGATTTTTTGGCTTTAGTTATTAACTTACTCTTTGGTATCCCATATGGTTTCTATTTGAGCGATTAGTTGCTTTCCACCATCTGCCGCCACATACACGTAATCGCCGGTTTTCACAACACCGCTGCATATTGTATTAAATTGTTCATAGTACGTATTACCGTCATCTATGTCCATACAGATGTATGCCACAACATTCTAAAAAATAAATAAATAAATTTAATAATAATAAACAAAGGTAAATAAAAACATATTGAAGGAATGTTAAAGGGTTTTGACCTGTTAAATCGAAATATAACATATTATATTACATAACAGGCTATACTATACTGGGATCTTGACAAGATTTTGATTTCGAAAATCCCCGCGATTTAATGACCGAAATACTAAAATTTTTGGAACTATAAAAATGTAATTTGATTTTAAAGACTCAAAAATTAAATTTTATATTTGTTATTATACTTTTTTCACCTTACAGACCCCCACGAATCCTAGAAAATTGTTTACTTTTTTTATTGAAAAGAGAGCGTAAACATTAAGCTTTTAAACATAAAAATAATAGGCCTATTTTGAGTCTTATTAAATAGTGTTATTATATAGATTAGGTCTAATGTAAAGAATTTCAAACAATGGTTTCATTAGGAATAAATGTTTCATCTTATGAAAAAATGCATTTTAGGATTTTAACTTTAACAATACCTATGCATTTGGAAACATGTGCATGAATTGATTATCACAACAATTAATTGGTTAATTGATTTTAACATGTTGACAATAATTGCCGCTTAAAATTTCCATTATCTACACTGAAAAAAATTATTACATTTAAATGTAAAGTTACAGGATTATTACCATATAAATTCCTAATTTTTACGACAAATTGTAAAATTACCTTTATTTTCGTCTAATTTTTATGTATTTCAAGTAAATAAACATTTTTGTTTGTAAAATTACTAATGTTATGTATTAATTATTGATACAACAAGTAAATTTAACGTACTAAATGTAAAAAATACAATTATAACGTCTTACTGCATTATTTCAAATGTAAATATACTTTATTACAGGTTTAAATGTTGTTTTACATTTGGAGTGTAGTAAAAATCGCAAAATTACATTTCATATATAACCTATTGGCTGGGAATTCGCGCATGTTGGCATGTAGGCATGTTAATGTTATCATGTATAAATACATTTCAAATAAAAAACATATTACATTAAAAATGTTAATTTACATAAAAAATATAAATGAGTTATACGTCAATTATGCTATTACATTTTACATGTAAAATAATAATAAAATGGAATATTTCAGTTATCAACAAGGCATCAAAATAACCAATCTCCATTACCGGAAATTTACATGATTTTTTTTTTCAGTGTATGATTCTTTCATAGCATTTCTGTTACAAAGTCCCGTCCGTTACGCTTTAAATTATTAGTTTTTAAGGAATTAAACAGTCATCACGATACCTAATTTTGCCAAATAAAAACCTTGTTAAACAGCTTTAGTTTAGAACTATTTATAAAAATTTGACATTAAAAACGGCAACTGTCCTATCCGTTACGCGTGGAATGGCCCTATAGTTTTATTAGTTCCTGACATGGACTCAATGTGTTTGTTTCTGTCAAGTCTAAAACGGTATTTTTTTTATGGGAATCGAATTTTCTATTAACGTTAATTTCTTAATAATTATTAATTTATTTATTTTTATTTCTTTATAAGAGATAAAACAGTAACCATTGATGCGCAGAACACTAATCCATATAATATACAATGTCAACGTCAATGTAGGTTTTGAAATCATACAATTTTTAATAAAACCTCACGGGTAACTTTACTAACAGCAATGGTTATTTAGGTCATATCAATGAGAACTTCTTATTGGAAAGTGCCAGGAACCATAGTGACTATTAGACTAACTATTGGAAATAATCCAAATCCACCAAACAAAGGTAACGCTGTGCAGTGGCGGGATACGTACGGGAACCGAAAGGGGGTAAAAGAACCCTGGAAGGTCAGTGTAAGGCGTTGCCGATGGGGCCTGACATACGTTCTTATACTCATACTCATAATAAATGTAGTTTATAAATTTCCAGTATTTTAACCCAAGTAGCATTTATAGTGGTTAAAACTTGTTGGCCACTTATACTTGGAACTGTAAAGTATATTGCCAAAATCTCTGCCACGCGGTAGAAACGTTTCTATTACGTGGAAGTAACTAAAATGGGAAACACTTTTTTAGTGTCAGTAACGTGAAGGTATAGTGGCCAAAACTTTACTAATCTTTACTTTCTATCCCCGTCTCTTTCCAGCATATTATTTATCTTATTATCTTTGCTTTCTCTGACTGGATATTAAACTAACACTGAATTATAATATTGTAAGAGTACAACTTGCAAATAATAACTAGAATTAAAATAATCCGAAGACATAAAATTAACACGAATTAAATTTTACTGTTAAACATGGGTATCAAAGCTTGAAATATAAGCATGCCCTGTTGAAATATGTGGTAATAAAAAAGAATAAAAAAATCTATAAACTTAGCGGATATGAAAATTATTTATTTAGAGGACTAAAATATTATTTTTATTATTTCTGGTCACTTGAAACCAATAAATAGGTATTAACGTGATAAATTTGGTGCGGTAATAACCAGAATTATTTGTTTAAAACTACACATTTATTTCCCTACAATGGCGATTATTTGTAAACATGCCTGCTTTTAAAGAAGGGAACTTTAAAGTGGTAATTTTATACGAAATGTGGAAATCACTTAAACATGTAGCAAGAACGTGGCAATCACCACCGTAATTATATAATCAAGTTTTGCCACATTCAAGGTTTGGAAAAAGTTCCAAAAACGTTACCAAAACTGATATACCCACTTTACTTCAAAGTAATACTTAAGTGATGTGGTTTGGTTACAGTTACTATTCATAATCCACTCTAAAGTTTAGACAACTTTAAGGTGGTGTCAAAAGTGGTCATAACATTTCAGATACACCAAAAAGTTATAAAACTATAAAGTATATTCTGCTGGTGCAAATCACATGATTACAACTATGCTAATATAATATGGAGATATTTTAACTGTATCGTGGTAGATTTAGTTATTTAAACGTTATTGCCACTCTTTAAAGTGGTGATATCAGTTTTCGTCACTATAATGCTACTTGGGAAAAGTCTGTTGGCTTCTGTGTGATAAACGGTTTGAGGGTGTTTTTTTTCAAGATGGCGGGTCATGACAGCGCGGGGGTTGTTCGGATCAATCCGAAAACCAGAATATATACTATTTAATTTATGCTCTTTTGAATAAAAAAATAACATTTCAACTGGTATAAAATTATTGGATCAACATAGGCTTTTACTGGCCCTGATTTGCTTTAAACCAATACAATTCCTCGGTGCTCGATTCACTTGCAAAGTCGAACTTAAAATAATAATAATAAGTGAATTATTATTATTTTAAATAAGTTGTCGATTAAATTTTAGTCATAAGCATTAAATTTTAAAGCTCTGGGTAGCTATTATTTAAAAAATAGTATATTATTATACAAGAGATAATGCAGGCTAATATTCACGAGGATGAGGTTTACGTTTCGAGTCGCTAGACCAGAGATCTAAATCATCCGAGTGAATATTGCGCATAATCTCAAATGTAATACTATACTTTATCTACTCCAATAAGTAGATAATTAAATGATTTTCAAAATTAAATAAATAAAATCTGACATCAAATGGTTAACTTTACTTTTTAACAATTTTAAATGTTATAGTCGCCTTCTTCCAATTTAAAACTCGATTGGTTCAAATCACAGTGAATACTGAAATCGGCCAATTACTGATGCCTAACAACGTGAATACTGAGTTTATTATTCACGTTGTTAGGCAGGAAATTTATAATGCTTAACAATATTTACGGAAAAACACCAAAATTATGCAATAGGAGTAGATAAATACAGTTACATCATTATAAGTGACGGTTAAATTTACCATGTTCAGTCATTTCCAAACTCTAGTTTAACGTTGGTAAGGTAGCCTTCGACTTTAGTCAGGAATTAAAAAATTAACATGAATTATAAAGTGTCATAAATGTTAAAAATATTGTAATGATTTAAAATTTGAAAGAACAAAATTATTTTATTAATATAACAAAAATTGAATTTTCGTCTCGAATAATTCGTAAATTCGAATATTCGCATACCCCTAGTTTATAATTTAAAAAATTGAAGGAAAATTTTGGATGAAAGATTAAAATTCAGTGCATGAAAGATTTGTTTGATTTTACTCACCGGTTTCTCTTTTTCCGATAATTGTTCGAGTTCCTGTAACTCAAACAGCTCATCCTTGTGCTTCTCGACTCTTTCCCTGAACACGGACACAACTCTTTTCTGTTCAAGGGGCTCGTCCCTCGCCACCAACTTAATGTCGGCGTTATCCGGATAAATTTTGATCTTTTTAAAATTGCGGCAACGCGTGCTGTATCGCGATTCGCACACGTACACGTCCTTTTCATCGAAACCTTCTGGCCGCATCGCAAAATAGTGCTTCACATTGACCACACAACACCGACCCATAACCTCTTCTAACGGCACCGTTGTGTGAGAGTCGGATTTAAAAACCTTAAAAAATACATGTTTTAAATAATTGATAATCATTATATATGGGTAAGGAATTTTATAACATTTTTTTTTCAAAATAAAGTGGAGGAAAGATATCTTTACATACATTTAAAATGATTTTATATAAAAAAAAATGATTTTATATAAAAAATATTCACTTTTTTATTTTTTCATACACAATCAAATTTTTCAGCAGTGCTTTCTTAAAAAAATTACTCTGTAATGCATTGTTCAAAGTAAATATTTGTTTGTAAATTAATAATACACTTTTCTACATTTCTTTATTTTTTCGTTTAAAAAAATATTACATCAAAAGTAAAAAAAAATTAAAATTATAATTTTTTTAAATTTAACTAGGACTCGAAAGTTATTTTTAAAAGTAAGAAGTATGTCAGGTTTATAATAATAAATTATCAAATAAAAAATTGGTGCAGCGAGCTTTTCCCTTGCCTTCGTGGATTTTACGTTAAAAATTATTTAGTTAAGGAATCCCAGGGGCAAAAAATGTCACAACAATTTTTAACTTACTACTAATTACTACATTTTATTTATGAAAGGAATTTTATTTTAATATTTTTTTAATAATATCTATTGTAACGGTTCAAAAATAAAAAATAAGTTGTTAATGATGGCGATTATGATATGTTAAGAAAAGTTAGTATGATTATTTTTTAACAAAAACTGTCAGAAAATGCATCTGTCAACCATGGGGCATTTCCATTGTAACGGCGACACTGACACTGCGTTTTTCATGATAATAAAGTAAGAAAGAAAATACGTTTATTTTGAAAAATCCAGAGAGTGCACGTTAACACTCTATACGGATTCATCCTCTCACAACAATACAACAAAAATATACAAACAATAAAAAATAAAAATATAAAAGTAGTAGTAGTAGATATTCATTTCACATTTCGTCATGTTTTAAAAGCTTAAGCTAGTATTTGTTCAGATATATCAAGATACGTTAATACACAAAAATAGTATAAAAAATTAGATATTTAACTCAAACAAAATGTTAATAAACACTTGTATAGAAAACCTTTTATAACGTTGGCTTCCCAAGTTGATCCTGTAAAATTTTGGATGAAAGCATATAGTAATAAATTTTGTTTGTAGTAATTTGTCCATTTTGAATAAGGTAGATTTATTTTGAATTTTTTGTTTAAAACTTGAATAGTAACCCTATCCACGTATTTTAAATAGAAAATATTGTATACTTTATTTTCTAAAATTTTCCCCAAATGTAACGGGTGCGACATTTTAACTTTTTATCGAGTATTGAAACTCTTCCGTGTTTATTCTTAAAGTTTGCTTTTTAGTATTACAATGTACCTACGAATATTTTAATGTTGTAAACGTCGCAATTAAACTTTTTTACTTCAGATATAGTTTTTGTTTTGTTAAATAACACATCTGATTTTTTGTCTAGCGGCTAGATGCCTTGTTTAAATTGTTTCCATTCCATTCTTTTTAGATTTAGATCATAATAGTGTTGCAGTAAATTGCATTGTAAAAAACTTGTCTATCATAAACAAAATTTTTAAGTTGAAGCCGTATGGAAGTTTTTTGCTACTGCGCACGGAAAGGTTGATTTAAAAATAGAAACGCGTGTCGGATTAAGTTTACAAAACGAAGAAAAACTTACAGAATTAAAATTTCTTTTAAACTCTTTATAACACGGTGCGTGCGCAGTGGCAAAAAAGTTCCATACCGCTTCAACTTCAAAATCTTGTTATTATAGACAAGTTTTTTTATGTTTTGCTTGCCAATTTTTTTGTATAATAAAATCAATTTAAAGTTAAACAAATTTACTGCACCACTATCATGTTCTAAACCTAAGAAGGATGAAATAAAAACAAATTGAACAAAGCATCTAGCTGATAGATAAAGTTAACATGGTTGACAGATGCATTTTCTGACAGTTTTTAAAGTTAAAAAAAATACAAACTTTATATCATCATAACTTTTTATAACATATTATAACGTATAACATATTATTATTAAATCAATTTTTGAACCGTTATAATAAATATTATTAAACAAAAAATTAAAATAAAGTTCCTTTAATAAATAAAATGCAGAAATTTAAAGTTCAAAATTTATTTGTATCATTTTTTGCTCCTGGGATACCTTTACTGAATAATTTGAAACGTAAAATCCACGAAAGCAAGGGAAAAACGCACTCAAACAAAATAAATAGCTGCAACTAAGTGACTTCAATCTATCATTTTTTTTTATTTTTAATTTAAATATCATATAAATCCTTATCATATCATATATGTAAATACTTTTAAAAATATTTTTCAAAGCCTAGATCTACTAAAATTTTAGGACCTGTCAGATGACAGATATGTATCATCAGTATCATAAACCAAAAAGGAATTTCTTTTTTATCTATGATCAGTATTTTAAATGAACAGCAAAAGGTTTGATTCAAAATCTTAGGATGAAATAAACGCTCAAATAAGAAAAAATACATAGAAAATACTCAAACCAGCTATAAATCAATTTGGAAACAATTGTAAACGTTTTGTAGAGAAAAAGGATACACCCTTTAAGAAACTACACCAATTACGAAACTGGCATGCATTTTGAAAGATTTGGTATAAAACATGAAACGGTGTGATGGAACAGATTAAAAAGAATTGGTTATAAAAATGTCATTTTGTAAACTCTATATCGTTAAAAAAAATCTCGAGAGATCAATAAATTATAAAATAATTCTCCAGAATTTCTCAAACTTGTTGTCATTCAGCAAAAGAATATTGCCAGACGACAAGTTTTCAAAATATCTGTCAAATTATTTTCAATTTATTTTCATTCTATTGTGATATTACTGTTGAAAAAATAGTATATTATTATATGAGAGATAATGCAGGCTATTAGTAAATAATGCGCATAATCTCGAGTGTAATACTATACTTTATCTATTCCAAAAAGTAGATAATTAAATGATTTTTAAAAATAAATAAACAAAATCTGACATCTGTCAAATGGTTAACCTCACTTTTTACCAATTTAAAATGATATTATAGTCGCCTTCTCCCTATTTAAAACCCGATTGGTTCAAATCACAGTGAATATTGAAATCGGCCAATCACTGATGCCTAACAACGTGAATAATGAGATTATTATTCACCTTGTTAGGCAGGGAAAAATGCATTATTGATTTACAAAAACATCACAACAAAGCATTGCAGAGTTTTTTTAAGAAAGCCCCGCTGAAAAGTCTGATTGTTTATAAAAAATAAGCAAGTGAATATTTTTTTATAAAATTTATGTAAAGTTACCTTCTCTCTGGGGAATTTGTTTTGAAAAAATATTGTTATAAAATTCCGAACCTTGGTAAATTCAGGGTTCACTTCAGGAAGCCTTACCCAAATTTTAAAAATTAAGGAAATTAAAAAAAAATGTTCTACCATTTTTTAAACTTAAATTACAGTGCGAATTTTCAGACATTTTATTAATTTTGAACTAATGTGAGAATTTGTCTTACATTTCTTAAATTTTTTCTACTACGAATTTTGTTTAAATACTCCAATACGACGCAGTTTTGGTTTACCCCCTTCGCAAAGAAGATTCAACCGAAAAAAAAATTTTTCATGATTATTTTCCTCATTATAAAATGAACCAATCAAAAGCCTTAAACTTTTGAATAAATTTTGTTTATATAAGCGATTAAATCACTAGAACTATTTAAAAGCGATTACATTTTAGCCTTCATATTGGATTTTTGTTTACGATTTTATAGTGTTATTTACAAGTTATCTAGTTTACGAAATATCAATTATTAATTATTACAAAAAAGGTATGGAATGGAATTCTGTTAAAAAAATTGTTCATAAATTTTGACATATACGTCAGATTTTATTAATTGTCAAATTGTGGAATTATGCAGCACAAATTAACATTAACATTAAGATAAATTTAACATAAATGCTTCCATTGTATTACATTCATTTTAACTTTTTAATGTTAATGTTAACTTAATGTTAATTTGTGCTGCATAATTCCACCAATAGTTTCCTTTAATTCGAGAAATAATGTAGATGTATATTACTCGACCTATAAATTTAATCTGTCAAACTATGCTCAGTAAGTTTTTTGTTTGATTTTTCTTTTTGGAAAATATTTTCATACAAAATATTTTGCATTCAAAAAACTACTGAGTCTAGGTATATGATTCAAATATTATGAATAAATTTTTTTGAGTTGTTAGCGTATTTCAGAATTGTTTTCAACATTTATTTGGTTTGAACTTACCTCATGTTCTAAAAATTTTCTTGTAGTGACGTGATATGTTTCCGCAGGTCGTAAATAGTGGTTTCCGTAAAGCTTCTGTTTACCGTCCGCTTCCCAAAGCCGCTCGATCTGAATGATGTGCGGTTCGCATCCTTTTTCTTTGGCGTCCGCATACACGAATTCGCCCACTTTGTACGTCTGCTGGTTGCAAGTCATGGTTTTATCGGTTTCCGTGGCGTCATTAGCGGAATCCCCACTGACTAGGGTCGATTCCTCCGAACTTCTCGTCTCGGTCTCGTCCTCGAGCGACTCTTGCAAGTGTTTGCTGTGCCTGAGGGTCTCGATGTCCGCAGTGGCATCGTTAAGGGTGTAGCTGAGAGCTGACGAGAGCAGCAACTCGCCACCTTTGCATAACTCGTCTCGCTGATGAATAAAGTGCCGTTGCATTTCGATCGAGTCTTCGAAAATTTGAGATTCCGTCCGCGACACTCGCCTGGCTCTTTCCATACAGGCAAAAAAGTCTTCTTGAAACGTGTCTAGCCTTTTGTAAACGCCCTTATCTAATCTACGCTTAAGAAGATCTAACGATAATGCTCGGACTCTGAAAGAAATTGCATTAGATATTATTTGTGTTGGCTGAAAAATAAAAACACCAACTTTTTTCCCTCTACTTCGTCATGTTCAGGCAAATCGGCCATGGAATCCGAATAGCATCTGCCCTCTTCATCCTGATGATTGTAAACTGAAGTGAAAAGCGTTAAAAAGATGTCTTGTATGGCCATCGAAACGTCAGGTACTGTGTTGTCGTCTTCTTTCAACTGCAACTTTGTTTGCAGACAAACCCGCTGCAGAACTAGTGCGTCCTTGTAAATTTGGGAGTCTGGCTCGTTGAATGTGCACGCGTTGTCAAACATTAGCGTGAAGTCCGCTACCAAATCTTCCAGAGACTCGAACGAACTCGTTTTAAGTTTGTGTGCGATCTTGTCCATATCAATCGGACTTTTAATAACTTCATAGTAGTCGGGATATTCTGATTTTGATGGCAATCTCATAAATATTTGTGATAGTTGCCTATTGGCCTTCGGATCGCGGTAATCGCGGATCGCTTCATACATAATTTTTAATTGTTTCTCCAAGGGAGACAGCTTTATTCTAGGCTTGTATCTGTAATAAAAAATATCATAATGATAATAATATCAAAATAGTACCTACAAATGATTATTGATATACGATTGCGATAACGGTTACGATTCTACATCCAATTTTTATATGATTACGATTAAAAAATCAAAATAAAAATGAAAAAGCATTTCTAAAAAATTTAAAAAGAACTCATATTGATACTAATATTAAAAATTAATATAAATTATTTTTTATTTAAAAAGCATATTTTATTTTGACTCTTTTCTTTTTTATGGGTTTCTTAGATTATTTTGCCTAATATTTAACTTAAAAATCATAAGTAATTATATTTGTTCAATTATTGGATGTGGTGATAATTCATTTGTCAAGGCCACCACTACCACTAGCAAAGAAGAAAACTAACTAATTACTAGGCTCATAAAAGTTTGTATCTGCCTAGGCCATAATCACTTCAGTGTTGAGTGTTGACTAGGGGTTTAAAGAGTAAAAAAAATTGATTACTGATTACTGAAATTATTGATACTAATATTAAAAATTAATATAAATTATTTTTTATTTAAAAAGCATATTTTATTTTGACTCTTTTCTTTTTTATGGTTTTCTTAGATTATTTTGCCTAATATTTAACTTAAAAATCATAAGTAATCATATTTGTTGGATTATTGGATGTGGTGATAATTAATTTGTCAAGGCCATCACTACCACTAGCAAAGAAGAAAACTAACTAATTACTAGACTCATAAAAGTTTGTATCTGCTTAGGCCATAATCACTTCAGTGTTGAGTGTTGACTAGGGTGTTAAAGTGTAAAAAACGGGAAAATTGGTAAAAACCGTTTTTTCCAGGACTTGAAAAAATTATCTTTTCTGTGAAAAATTGGAATAGCAGATTTTAATAAAAGTAGCAATTAACAACAAAAAAAGAAATAAAAGTAAACATTGAATTAAATTTAATTAATTTAAGAAAATAAACGTAAACGTTACATATACTGTCGGTCCAATGAAAATATAAAATAATGAATGATTTATAAAATTAAGGAGGTTTGGGCAGTACATTGCGAGGAAAAGGGTAAGGGGAGTTGCTTTTATACCTAATGCATAAATAGCAATAAGTACTAGAGCCCTGCACGGGCCGAATTTTTCAGGCCCGGTCCGGCCCGGGCCCGAAAATCAGTCACTATAGCCCGGCCCGGCCTGGTCAATAAATTATTAGGCCCGGCCCGGACCGATTCTATTTTATATAGACCGGCCAATAAATAACAATTTTTAGCCGTAATAAAGCTAAAAAACGTTTTGTGATTTTTTAAGCTGTTTTATTTATGTAAATGTTAAGAAAAAATTTAAATGTTAGTTTAGTTAATTAATAATTATTTATTTATAATAAATAAACTTAATATTAAAAAATTAACAAAAAAAAACAAAATTTAAAGGTTGCTGTTTAAGAACAACAAAGCATAAGTATATTTATTTATATATTCATTTTAAATATATATTTTTTAATTTTTCGTTTTAAAAAACTACATATAATTTATGTTATACATATAAAAGAAGAAAAACTTTACAAATTGCGATCTACGTTCTTTACTATTATAATAATATAAAATAATTATATATTAAGTATAATAATTTAATATAATATAAATCATATATAATAATTATATTTTATTAATAATAATAATAATAATGATATCCTTATTTAGTGGAAATTCCTAAATCGACAGACAAATAGAGCGACTTTTTCGTAGAATGTCTAGATGGCCTAGAAACTTAGGCCGGCCCGGTCCGATTTTAAAAAAATAGCGGTTCGGCCCGGCCCGACCATCGGGCTGGGCCGGGCCGAAGCCCGACCGGGACGGACCGGCCCGGGGCTCTAATAAGTACCAACTTGCAAAAACAAAATTTACTTTGACATTTTATTACAATTGATTAAAATTACATCCAATTTTTTAACTAATTTTATTATTTTTATTTTAATACAAAAAACGAAAAAAATAGAAATTAAACGCGACAACATTGTGAGTAGTTGGTTTGTATGGTATCGCTTTTGAAAGTTGCAGTGACTGCATATGCAGTGTTATTTAAAATGAGTTGTGTAAATGAATTATTATGTTCCGTGAAACGAATAATAATAATAAATTATTATATTTATACATAATCAGTAATCCCAAAACTTTCCAAATACTATACTTAAAATTTGCGACTTTACTTTATATAAAATGTGGTTTAAGAATCAGAGTACAGTGAAGAAATTGTGCTCTGATTAATTTGTTGCTTTCTATGGAAATTATTTTAGGTAAAAAGTTAAATCAAAAATTTTAATTTAAATACCTAGTAAGTATTCATAAATACTTACGTTCTAACTATTCGTTCTTTTTTGTCTGGTGTTGATAACAAATGCCCCACTTTGTCCATAAGATATTTTTCCAAAGCAATGGAATCCTCGTATATTGGAGAGTTTTCCTCATTATATTGCCTACAGTTTGAAAACATTAACTTAAAGTCTTTGATAATATCCCTTTCACAACTGTATTGCTCTGCTCTTATTTTTGATTCGATTTCCAAAAAGTCAATAGGCTCAGCAATAACCTCGTAATAATCCGAATACAATTTCTTTGATGGTTTTTGCATGAAAGCTAACATAGGTTTTCGACCATCCTCACACTGGAAATTGTAAAAAAATAGTATTATTCCTATTAAGCTGACAAACTTTTTGTAATTGAAACTTACAGTGTACTCCAGCATATATTTTGCCAATGTATGAAGTCTTTTTTTCAATGGAATTGAATCTTTTGGAGGTCTACCTCTTCCTGGAGAATTGAAATTTAATGGATTCTTAGGCTTAGGACCAGGCTTTTTCCTTACCGGAATTATTTCAATATCACTATCTGATCCCTAAGAGAGGTATGAAATTGCGTATTAAAAAATAAATGTAGCATTTAAGCATGCCAAACCAATACATTAAGCCAACACCAAAGCCATGTCAAAGGGTCCAATAAAAAACATGTAGTCATGTAAAAACGAGTACCATAGTACCATAGTCATTAAAATGGTCTTTATTTAGGCAATGTTGAAAAATATTACAAGCCAGCCATTAAAATCACAACATTTTCGACATGGCCTAAATAAGGACCACCCTAAAAGTCATACAATAAAAATATGCAATTTTAAGTTTTACATACAAAACAATAATGTACAACAGGTTATCTATGGAACCCACAACTAATATGGAATATGAAGATGTAAATCATGAAAAGAAAAGATAGTACATAGCCAGAAGAAAAATTGTCAGTGGAATGTAGGAAAAAGTTAAAAGCAGTGCAGTCGCATACCTTTTGGTGTTTGTTAGTGACACTGTTTGTTACCTGATCAATATCAAGTAGCTCTTGTACTTTGGATTGCATTATTTTTTGAAGTTTTACTGCATCCTGGGGAAAAATATAATATGGTTATTTATATTGTTCACAACTAAATATATTAATGATTACCTTGTAAAGCTTAGATGTGGGAATATTATATTTTTTAGCATTTTCAAACATAATGGTCAAATCACCAGCTACTTCACTTAAATTTCCATAGGCATTCTTAACGAGTTTCTTTTTAATTTGCATCAACGACATGGGATTTTTAATTTCGCGATAGTAATCTGGATAGAATCTCTTTGATGGCAATCTCCAAAACGGTTCACTTAATGGCACACCATTACTACTTGTTATGGATTTTACAGCATCAAAAAGTTGCCATAATGGATTATCGGAATCAAGAGGAGCTCCCTGTAAAAAAAAACATAATAATAAATAATAAAAATGTATATGATTGTAAAATTATTTTTATTTATTTAACACCATATTATTTATTTATTAACACCATAATATTTATTCAACACCATACTACTTAAGAGAGGATGATATTTGAAGTATAAAAATAATTGAAATACAATCTTCTTTTTCTAACAGTTTTTGAGAGAATTGGTCTAAGTGGGGTTTAAAGTGTCGAAAAAAACGGAAAAATTGTTGAAAAATCCTGTTTTCTTCCGTTTTTTTCCATGCCTTGGGAAAATGTGATTGTCATGTTTGTAAACTTGCAAGAACTCCTAAAATTGGTAATTTTACAAAAAACGATATTTTACCTCCAAGAAAAGGAATATTAGTGGATAGTTTAAATACTACTACTACCTCCTGTGAGCATAAGATCCCTTAATTAATTGAGACCAACGTATCTATTTCTTAAAATTTAGGTAATCCTAAACGACCGTGTTTCGAACAACGTTGTAGTTCCTGTTTTTCTGTTATTGCAAGAGGAAAGACACACAAATGTAATCTTTCAACAAGATTTGATAATTTAAACAAGGAGCTATCAAATTCTACATCAAAATTTCAACAGCAGGTCATTTCTTCACTAGTAAAACAAAACATTAATAAAGAAAATACATTAAAAACTAATTCACTTTCGCTGATTCAATCAAAGGGAGGACAACCTCTTACAGTTGTTGTAAATCCAAAGAGAACTAAAGATAACGTTCAGAAAAAACAACTAATATCAGTAGAAGACTTTTTAAAAATACAAACAAATTTTAATCTTAGCCAAAAAACAACTTGTGGAATAGCAAGTGTTATCAGAGTAGCTACTAAAAACCGCAAAGTCATCGAACCCGACTTGAAGAGGAAAATTTCAAATAACACTCATTCTGTCGATAATTTTTTTGAAATAAAGGGTTTTGATTTTGTGAATATAAAGGCTAAAGTTTCGACTGATGTTAAAGAGCTTGTAGTTTACTGCAAGGATCTTGATGGATTAATTGAATACGTTAAGGAAAATCGACAATCATCTGAGGTTCATTTGAAATAGATGGAGGTGGAGGGTTTTTAAAAATATGTTTATAAGGAATAGCTGCTAAACAATTTAAAGACTCAGGTGTGAAAAAATTGTTTATTCTTGAGTTAGCGCAATGCTCAAAAGAAAACTATGAAAATGTTTCAAAATTATGGTCTGCAATCAACATTAACGATTTTGAATGAACAATTGCAACTGATTTAAAACTTACAAATATTCTAGTCGGCATCATGTCGCACAGCAGTCTTTTCCCCTGTACATGGTGTTACGCCAGAAAAGATAAACTTTGCGAAGTACTACTAACACATTACAAAATTATTTCGATTGGCTTAAAGCGAGAGCTGTAAAGGAGACCGCCGCTTTTCTCAAATTAGATAAAACGTTTTTAAATATTATTCCTCCACTGGAACTACACCTAATGCTAGGCGTTGTTAATACGTTGTTTACGCATATGTTAATAGACTTTGAAAAGGAAGCCTTGGCAACATTCAAATGTCCAACGTGAAGTAACTCATGGCGGTCCCGCTTTCAAGGGAAACGCGTGCAAAACACTTTTAGATTACGACGAGATTGCAGCCTGGGCTGCCTAAAATTTGTGAAAGCATTTGAAGACTTTAAAGTAGTTGTTAAATCATGTTTTGGTCAAGTTTTAAATCCAGATTTTAAAAATTCTATTGCAGCCTTCAAAAAGAGTTACCTGGAACTGGAAATTAGAGTCCTCTAAAATTGTATAAAAATGCAACAGGCCTTGGGGGCATTCCACGTTACTCGGTAATTTTTGTCCCGCCCGTCACAATTAAAAATTGTGATTAAAAACCACAAGTTATAAAATTAATATTTTATAATATTATTTTTATTGGGCTTATAACTTATTAAAATCATAATAAAACAGTAGTTTTTACTCACAATTTTTAATTGTGACAGGCGGGATAAAAATCCCCAAGTAACGTGGAATGACCCCTTGGGTTTTTTTAGTGAACAGGCAATGGAGTCTGTGCATTTTGATTTTAATTCGGTATGGAAAAAATACAAAGTCTCCAAGAACCATTCAAACTACCCAGAGAGGTTACAACGGGCTGTATGTGAATATAATAGTCTTCACATTTTTTGTTTGTTTGTTTTTTACCGAAATATGCAAACTTGTTACAATTTTAATTCTTAGAGTTGTATTAAAAAATATATAATTACTTAGCTTTATTTTGATAAAGTTTTCCGCAAAAAAATTATTTTCTAAAGAAAATTCAAAAACGGCTCAGCAGATTCTTTCCTCCCATTAAAATAATCAGGAACCATTAACAAAACATGCAAAACAAAAAAAATCAGAGGTGCAACCACATTTGGGTTGAACTTAAACGAGGCTGGCGTGCCTTTTGTTAAAATATAGGTAGGCAACCAGGATTACACATCGATAATGAATAATCCCACAGACCAACAATAATCCTAATACACGTGCAATAACTAATATAAAATTAGAATTTAAGCTTTTACCATATAAAGTTATTTAGTACAATTACTGCAATTTAAAAATAAATATTTATTCAAAAACTATTCTTATTTATTTCTATATAAATGGAACTTTAGTAAGAATAATTGGCTTTAGCAGTATTTTTTTAAGTGTTCAAGACAATATTCACGTTGTTGGGCTGATTTCAATATTCACTGTGATTTGAACCAATAGGGTTAAATTGGTAGAAGGAGACTATAACAATATTTATGCACGATGACATTATAATATGACAATTATAACAAAAATTCTTTGACGTAAACGTCTTTTTATAGCCCGCGGGCGTTATTATGACCCAGCGGGCTATAATGAAACGTCAAAATTAAAAACAACAATGTTACACCATTTGATATATTCGAAGTAAGTTTTTTCGTATAAAGATTTTGATTTTTCCGGCAGCAGGCTGCAATTTTTCGCCTTTTCAGCTGCTTCCTCAATTTCATTCATCTTTAAACTTTAAAACTGACTGATGTCAGTTGACATTATAATATGACAATTATAACAAAAATTCTTTGACGTAAACGTCTTTAAAAACAATAATATATTAAAAATAATAATATATTAATCGTGCATAAAGTTTTGTATGCATTGCTGGCATAACTGGTTTTTATGCCCTTAATACATAAATAACTATTAAAATTGGTAGAAAGTGAGGTTAACCATTTAACAGATGTCAGATTTTATTTATTTATTTTTTTAAATCATTTAATTAGCTTCTAATTGGAGTGGATGAAGTATAGTACTTAATTTGAGATCATGCGCATAAGTCACTAGAATAATTTGCACAAAACTCATTCTCGTAAATAATAGCATGCATTATCTCTATATATACTATATAAATAATATTATTAATTACATTCATATTATAAGAAATTTAGTTTTAACAAATTTGTCATTTCCAAAAGAAATTATAATTATATACTAGGACATACATATTCCAAAGCATATCTGACTATTCTTGTAATAATTTGTAATGTATTCTTTGTAATAATTTGTAATGTATTCTTGTAACATTTTGTGAAACCCTAAACATTTAACACTACATTATGTATATCAAAAAAAAAAAAAGCCTTTGTTATCTATGATGTATATTATGCACAGTTTTTTGTTTTTGTCATAATACATTGTCAAAAAACATCTACTGTATAATTTTTTAAATTTAGATTTTGATTGGCAATTGACATTTAAAATTTTTATTTTATTTGGATAATTTCAATAAATTTTGATAATTTAAATTTTTGAAGTTTGGTGAAACAAATTTGAGTCTAAATAAATATTTGTACATAAATTTAAAATTTCAGAAATAATTAAATATCATTTAATAGAACTTTATATTTAAATTTACTAAACACTACATTTTGTAGTCAATGAATTTAGTTATAGTAAATGTTTATGCTTATAAATAAATATATGTGGCTATTATTTTTTACTCACATCTTCATCAAAAGTATCGTCTAAATCATTATTTTCAACATCACTATTTTTTGGAGTATTTTCCACAGATTTGTTGGTTCCCTTTGGAGTATTAGCCTTGCGACCTGGTGGTCTACCAGGTGGTCTACCTGGTTTGTTTCTAGGAACATCTTCGATTTCAAGTTTCTTTGTTTGTATAATTTTTTTCAATGCCTTTGCATTTTTAAATATTTGTGAACCTGGTTCATTGTATAAACAAGCATTTTTGGTCATTAACAGCAAGTCTCTTTCCATTTCAGCCAAAAAGTTGTATTTCCTACTTGCCATTTTATTAGAAATCATTCTTAAATCTATTGGCACTTCCACCACCTCATAGTAATCAGGATATTTTTTTTTTGATGGTAACATTTGAAAAAATGTATATAATGGCTTTTTATCACTATCCACTGCAGTTGTAACTGCCTTGTAAAGTCTTTCAAATGGATCATGAATAGCATTTTCCTTGGAGTTTTCATCATTAATAGCATTGTTTCTGTTATTTTCTTTAACTGGAGTTTTTTTGGGAACCCTATTGTTTCTGTTGGGGGTCTTGATAAACTTTTTATTATCACCCTTTTCTCCATTTAATAATTTTAATTTGGTAGCTAGAAATAATTCCCACAACTCTACTGCATCTTTAAACTCTTGTGTACTTCGTTTATAAAATGCCTTTGTATTGCTTACAATCAACTCTATATCACTTTGAAGATCATCCAAATCAGCATACTCATCAGTTTTTAACTTTTGTTGCACTTTAAGCAAATCTATTGGATTACTATTCACTTCGTAATATCCTGGTTCCTGTCTTCGTTTGGGAACTCTGATAAATAAGTCACATAGCAAACTACCATCCTCTTTTTTGTGGTTTCTTATTAAATCATATAGTTGATGACATAGTTCCATCTAAAATAGGAATTCTTAAAAATTAAACAAACACAACTTTTACCTTAACTTACTGGATCTTGAAGTTTTCTACGTTTGTGCACTGTAGGACCACTACTAGTAGAAGCTTCTAAACTATCCATTGAATCATCTTCATGATTTTTACTGGCTATAGAACTAGTCCTTTTTCGCTTACTCATTTTTTTTGTTTAAACATTCATTATAAACTATAAAACTTTGGGGCTTCTAAAAACAAATAAAAGACATTTTTAAAACCACACAGATTCAGTAAAACTTACAAGGATACAAACAGATTCTTTTAAATAACGATATATGTAGTCAATTTGTATAGGTTACCTTAACGTAAAATCTTAATGTAATACAACACTGTAACGTTAGATTTTTCACACTGTTAGGTAGCCAAAAGTTCGCTACAATGTTTATAAAGCATATTGTTCTAATAGTTTCCAAAAAAACACAAATTATGTAAATAAGGCGCGACAAGCTATTCGTCCACTCGATATTCCTTTTACAATGGCGGCTAATGATGTTTAGAGAGGGACGCATTTATCTGGGGTGTTTGTTACAGAAAGAGACAGAGCAAATATTAGAAGTTTTACCACCATTTTAAAAATTATTTCGTTGTTACTAAATAGATTTAATTAAAATAATTTGAAAAAATCAAAATAGTTGTAAATAGTAAGCCTTATTTTGATTGCGTTTCGCTAGACCAGAGTCCAAAACCCTTACAAGGGAAATTACAAGTCGTAATTTACGACAGAGAAAATAGGCGGGAATGTTGCACTCCTGTTAAATGTTTGGGTTTGTTCCACAATATAGGGATATGCAATTTGTACTTTGCCCCACACACAGAGGCTGTGGCTCCATACTCGGAAGTTGTCAAACTTCTTTTATTTTTTTATTTCAAATTTGTTGTTTCTTTGATAAAAAGTGTTGGGTTCGGTTGGGTTGGTTGATTTCTTTTAATTTTATCGTAAAATAAAATAAACTAGAAATTGTCGAACTTTTTTATTCGCTGTGGCTCCCGTCCCGAGGCGGGACTTAAGTTCAGTCCCGATTGACGTCACACACTGTAAATCCGTTTTTATTCCCCGAGATTTTATAATTTGTGTCAAGCTCGATGGCTTAGATGGTAGGGCGGTCGCTTGGCATGCGAGAGGTACCGGGTTCGATCCCACTAGAAGTTGTCAAACTTTTTTTATTTTATAAATTTGTTGTTTCTTTGTTAAAAAGTGTTTTATTTTTATCGTAACATAAATTTACCCATTTTAGTTGGGTTTTTTGCTCAATGGGGCGGGGGGGGGCCCAATGGGGCGGGGTCGGTTGGGTTGTGTTGTTGAGTTTGGGTTGGTTTGGTTTTATGACGTAACTAAAGTGCCCTTAACATGTATACAGGTACAATTTATTATTATTATTATTTTATTATAACATAACAAATCTTAAAATTATGACGTCAATCGGGACTGAACTTAAGTCCCGCCTCGGGACGGGAGCCACAGCGTTTTTTATTTCATAAATTTGTTGTTCCTTTGTTAAAAAGTATTGGGTTGGGTTGGGTTGGTTGGTTGGTTTGGTTAGTTTGGTTGCTTTGTTTTAGTTTTATCGCAACATAAAATCTTAAAATTATAACGTAACTAACGTGCCTTTAACATTTCGAAGCGTGCCACTTTATCGTGCCTCTTAGTCACAGCGAAATAATTATTTAATTATTTATGGTAACCAATGTAACCGCCCGGTCTAACAACGTGAATAAAAAACTCATTATTCACGTTGTTAGGCATCACTGATTGGCTGATTTCAATATTCACTGTTATTTGAACCAATCGGGTTTTAAATTGGGAAAAAGCAAGGTTAACAGATGTCAGATTTTTTTATATATACAAGGGGCGACTATAATGATCTTTAAAATCGAAAAAAAGTGAGGTTATAATAAATTTTGTTTTCAATGAAAATTACCTAATTGGAGCACAAACAGCATAGAAATACACTCGAAATAATGCGCATTATTTACTCGGATGAATTACGTCTCTCGCCTGACGACTCGAGGCGCAAACCTTATCCTTGTGAATAATAGCCTGCATTATCTCTCGTATAATAATATACTATTATCTAGTCCTATTGCATAATGTTGTGTTTTAATTTTGAAGAATGCGACTATAATTACATTTAAAATTGGTAAAAAGAAAGGTTTACCATTTGACAGGGGTCAGATTTTATTTATTTAATTTTTAAAAATAATATACTATTCTTCTACAACTTGTAGAAAAAAATAATGTGACATAATGCGACACTTATAGACAAAATTAGCGTTAAGCCTAATTTATAGATTGCCTTACTTCCTTCCTCCCGTAGAAGATAAACAATACCAAAACCGTTGTGCTGTTTAAAGATTCCCGTATGGCAATCTATAAATTGCACTACGATTTTCGTAATCTTATAGATAGATAACCCTATAATAATTATAATTATTATTTTTATTCGGATGTCAAGGTAGGAATTTTTGGTATGGAGCACTTTTTTGGCGTGCCCATACCTTTTTACACCCAACTTGGGAGTCCGTGGGTTAGTTCTTCTGTGTGTAGTTTTCTTGGCCCCCCTAGCAAGTTACTTCTCGCCTTATAGTCTTCTTGTGTCGTTTACAAATATGCGACGTTGTCGGATTTATTTTCGGCCAAAGGGCATGCACCCGATTAGATTATCAAAAAAAAGCTCCGTCCGGAGATTAAGGTTGGTTGTCCGCTAGGATCGTATATTATAGTTTAATAAAAAAATATGATATAATTACATTATAAAACATCCTTGGGTTGCCGCGCATGAAAAATATTTTAACAAAAACATTCAATTTGGCAACGCAGTTTAACTTTAAAGTAAAGTATCCTTTTTCTATGTGTCAAAGAACATGTCAATCTGTTTTAAATATATAGCAAAAATTTCTAGTAGGATACCTCAATTTAATGGAGTGTGTAGAAACTACTCTAGAAAAGTTAATAATATAGATAAATCTTATAAACCATTAAAACCAAGAAGATCTCACAAAGGTATGTAACATAAAAGTCAAGGTTTAAAGTGTTAAATGACTGTACAAGCCTTTATACTTTAATACAAAGAAAGTTTAGAGTACATTTTGTTGGTTTTTGAAAATGACATTAACATCATTGCTCAACATTCTCTTTTCCCCAGTCACTGTCACTGTCCTCCATGAAGGACGTCTGGGAATATCTTTTAAATTGAACAAGAGGGTTTGTAAATAAGTACGTACAGGGTCCCTAACAGAAAAGTAAACAATTGCTTACTTTTGTATTGTTGTTTAAAACAATTGTTAGCTCTTGATGATAATTTGGACATATAATACATATTATGTATACAATCAGGCCAATTCACCAACATGAGTTGTCAACTTTAGCCACTAGAATTAGTGGTTATTAATATATTTGATCAACCTAAATGGTCGGAATAGCCGATAACCACTGATTCTAGTGGCTAACTTTAATGAGTTATATTAGTGAATTGGCCTGAATGATAAAAATAATATTAATTTGTAAATAAGTATGTACAGGGACCCTAACAGAAAAGTAAACAATTGCTTACTTTTGTTTTGTTGTTTAAAACAATTGTTAGCTCTTGATGATAATTTGGACATATAGGTATACAATCAGACCAATTCACTAACATGAGTTGTCAACTTTAGCCACTAGAATTAGTGGTTATCGTTATATTTAATCAACCTGATTGGTCGGATTGTCCAATAACCACTGATTCTAGTGGCTAACTTTAATGAGTTATGTTAGTGAATTGGCTTGTAGTGTGGGTGTTTTTAACCAGGAATTATTAATATGCAATAATATATATTGTATATAAAACTCTGTGCAACACCTTATTAAATAATTCTCAACTATAAGGATGTTACAAAAGGTGGATGTGTCATACAGTTGGTGACCAACATCACAATCCACACAACATTGGATTGTGACCAACATCTTATTTGTTTTGTTTTTATTATAATTGCTTTTAGTCTAATATTATTAATATAAGTAATGTCCAATTACCTATACAATTAAAAAAATTATGGGAAATTTTTGAATCTACAGATTGAATATTTCATTATAATTAATATTTTAGATGGAAGCAATTTGGTTTGGAAAGATCCAAACTTTGAAATATTGGCATCTAATGGATTTCCTTTATTCCTTCCTGGCCATGTTGGATTAGCATGGTATGATACCCAGACAACTATTAAAACTCACCATGAGCTAATATTGGAGCAAATTGATGATTTAAACCAAGCAAGTGTTCTTCTTATAAAAATCCATATAAAAAATAATACATTTTTAAGCTTTTTAGGCAATAAAATAATTATTATTCTAAAAGAATTTACAATTTTAGTTTGAAGACGTGGATGATAGTATAATATGCAGAGTTCAAACTTGCCCAACTGTATTACGAAAAACTGTTTCAGATTTATTTCCTTATAGGACTTTAGATGGCTCAGAACTTTCTGTTATTACAATTAGTTTGAAACCAAATGTTAAAGATATGAGGAAAAATAAAGAAATGGAAACTGAACGCATGGCTCAAACTGTAAGCAAACTAAATACCTACATATATAAAAATATATAGATTTTAAATAATTATTTTAGTTTTTAATTGCTGCCAAAAATGTATGTGATAAATTAAGGTCATCTGGATATTGGGCTGATTTTATAAATCCATTTTCTGGTCGCCCTTATTTAGTTCCTACCTCTAACATGGAGTTATATGAAACAGATGAAAAGTTTAGGTGCTTGGATTTTCAAATATTTGAAATAAAGGATTGTAAAATTGTTTCTAATGAAGAAAATTCTAAACAAAGATTTATAGGTAAGTCTTTAAGAGAATGTCTATACAGTTTTAAAATGTTTTTTTTTCTATTCTTAGGTAGTCTCTTTACCAATGCTCCCTGTAAAAAAAATCAATTAAATTCAATATTTACAAAATAATGTAAATGAAAAGTTATTATATTTTGTTAGTTCTTTCAGAAGTTTTAAAAATATAAATGTACAGATAAATATTGTATTTTTTTTAACAATGTTTTTTTGCCTACTGCATAATCAACCCCTGTTTCCTTACTGTGATCAATTAAAGTCACAATGTTCTTTAATTTAAATTAAGCAAAAAATCTAAAAAGGTTCAATGAAAACCAAAATATTCTCTTTTATTATTAATCTTTATATTACACATAAATAGTTATAATCACATAATCATACATAATTGCCAAATCATTTCTTATAGAAAATTAGTATAGTGATTAAATATCACATATTTCTTAATGGATAAGTAATAAACAAAAATTAATATTCTTCGTCAGAACCTACACCATGGTCCGTGTTTCTAGCCAACATGTAATTGTCCATATCGATTGATCGGCAATTGTTGATTGAGTAGCGCAACTTTTCGGCCATAATTTCTTCACTGCTGTACATAGGTAACCGCAGTTGAAAGAAACAAGTCTGAGCTGTGGGCAAGCCATTCATAACCTTATCCACTTTCATAATCTAAAACAAATAATGTTAATTAAATAAAATTAAAATTTTAAATATAAAATTTGGAATTCACATTACACTTACAGTCTGTGAATCTGCGTACACTCACCTGGAATCGCTGTGAAAGATCTGCCAAATTTGTAGGAAGTCTTGAACGTCCTGATACAAACCTCATAAATAAAACTCGCTCTGTGTCAGTAAAACGCTCTAAAATATTCCATAACCATTGAACCAGTTGACTTGAACCATCCAATTCACGATATCTAAATGGGTAAAAAATGCATTAAACAAATATTAAAATAATTGGTATAAAAACTACCTAACAATTTCCTTTAAGACAGGTATGGAAATGTGCGACATTCCACATACCAGTTGCTCCATATGATCGGAAACCATTAATGATAACAATGGTACTGGTATAATCCCGGCCATACCTTCACGAATTGCGCTGACTTGAATGTCGAATTCTTGCAATCTAAATCTGATTGCCTGTTCAAAGTACTGGGCGCGGTTTTCAAAAGTCAAAGGAATACTATGTCCCCCATGCACCAGAGGTACATTCTGAAAATATATTATTTAAAAGAATAGCAGCATATGAAACAATTATCAGTATCCACCATCAGGCACTGAGTAAAAATTCGTGAAGTGAGCATGGAGTTTTCACCATGGTAATAAACATCGGTAAAAATTTATTTTACATTAGGTACTGGGTTGCCTCATAATAACCCACAAATATTGTGTTTATACTTGGTATAATAGAAATTTTTTGTCCCAAATAAAACACTTAAATACTACGAAAAACTGATTAGATTTGGATAAAAATCAAATTACCTGTCAATAAATAAATCATTAAAAATGTAAAATGTTGCCATTTTTAATAAAAAAATTAAATAAATGAACATTTAAATTTGTTTTACACACCTTATATATTTTTTTTAAGACCATAAAAATACATACCTTTCAGAAGCTAGATGTGAAAAAAAATTGTGATCTTAATTGTGTAAAACAAATATTCATTTTTTAGCGCGGCAATGCGTTGCATCGACCCTGCTTTGATTTTCAATCGTGCTAAAATTAAAAATTTTGAACGACTATCATCTTGTTGACATCAAAATCTAAACTTCCTTTATGGACAACTAATCGTACTTCCGGTTATCACTAGTCTTGTCATTTTGGCAGCGAAAATTAAAATGCTTAATATTGTACCTTGTCAAGAATTAAAAAAGCAGTAGAAGTAAAAGAAAAAAGCGGTAGAAAAACGGTAGATATTTAAAAAATTGTTTTTGGGTAACTGTTTGTCAATTTTTAAATTAAAGCATTCACTATCTATGTATTCTTTTGAAAGCAGTAAGTCGGTTTCATATAGATGCGAAATACCAATATTCGCATTTCGCAACTCCTATTTCATATAGATGCGAAATATTTTAGGGACATTGTTTTCTCAGTAGGCGATATTTTCCACCCACCCCAGTAAGGGTTACTGTCTTAATTTAAGGTACTTACTTTGCCAGTAGAACTGGTTCCTTCAAAGAACTCAATTGGAATTACTTCATGGAAACTTTCTTCAGTTATTCCCGATAAATGTATGTCTCGTATGCTTCTTAGACTTTGAACATACATACAATCTACGTCTTCCAGGTCTTCGACAGTTACCGGTTCCCCGATGACAAGTTTCCAAATTAACGGGGCCAAGGGAAGCGCCAAAGGTTTCCTTGTTCTTATTGCCACTCCAAATAGGATTCCTAAAATTAAATAATTAAAGAAAATAAAAAAAACTTTAAAATTCTGTTTTTTTGGATTACTCCAGTCAAACAGGTAACATTTAAAAGGTTAGTTGGTTGCCAAAGGAAACTGTAAAGTTTAAAATATGTTGCTTATAAGTTATTATTAACAACTAATTTAGACGTAGCATTTATAGAATTTAATATAGGTGGAGTGTTTCGTTGACCAGTGGTATACCGATATATAGTTTACCGAGTTTATAATGACATTAAATAAACAAACAATTTAAATTGAAGTAGTCGATAAACTATGGTAAATAATAAATTGCACCAATTAAATTTATATTATATTTATTGGGGGCGCCATGGGGTCGGTACAGCCGAGCAAAACGTTATCTTTTTTTCGCAAACTTCAATTTAAATTCTGCTTGCGCAGAACTTGTTTATTTAATGTCATTATAAACTCATATAAATTTGGTGTGGGTCCCATATTTAATAATTGAGATATTGGTATACCCAAAATCCACCAGCCGCCACTGCCGTTGACTACGACTACAAACAGAGATGTAAAAAACGGGGTTTTTCAGATGTAAAAAAAAACCTAGAAAAAAAACGGTTTTTTTTTTCAAATCCGCTACAATAAAGCATATTCTGTCAATAAATAACATCAATCTTAAAAAATGAAATTTTGGTTAAAATGTATATTAGTAATAAAGTGAAATGTAAAATAAATTATATTTTTTATTATTGAATATTTTGACTGAGAATAAAAAATCTGATTTCTTATTATTTGGTAGTTTCCACATAAGAAACCAATAGCAATGTAAAACTTCTACCCCAATAGAAAAAATTAAAGGATAAAAAAAAATCCATATATTTTGCGATAGCTGTATCTTCGTTAAAAATGGTCGTATTGGAGCTGTAAAACAAGCAATTTGAAGCTTGAAGTTTCTAGTTTTGAAATTTTTAGATAAAAAACTTGCAACGCTCAATCCTAACGAATATCGTAATAAAAAAAATCGAAATTTTTGTGGCTTTCATTTTGGTACACGGAATGTTCTGACTAACCACCAATGAATAAATGTTCTACAAGAACTTGCTATTGTTTTTTTGAAAAAAAAAAATTCCATACTCTACATGAATTTAAAATATCATGAAAAAATGTGCTTTTGGTAGTTTTTTGAAAAATCAAGCGCTGAATCAAAAATATTATAGGTAGTTACTTTTTTAGGACCAAATCAAAACAAGAGTGGGCCTTATTGGTCAGTTCGGTGGTGGTGGAGACTGTATTTACATTTACTAAATGTCATTTAGTGGCTAATTTTAGTCCATGAACTGGACTGGAAATATAAAAAATTAGGCTAATGAGACTAATCTTGAAAAAAACTAAAATATGAAATAAACCATTAAAAAAAAAAATAATGAAAAAAAACCTGAAAAAAAAACAAAAAAAAACGGACCGTTTTGTTTCAAGTCGCATCTCTAATTACAAACTATCAAAATGTGATCCAGTGACATTTTTGGTTACATTACCTAAAAATTTAAACCATTGAATATGCTGAGGCGAATTAAGCTGCGGATTTAGCAAGTATTTGTCTCGATTATATCCCTCGTCATTGACCGCATTCGGTGTTGGTATTAACAGTGGAACAATGCCCGTGGTAATTTCTTGGCATACTTCAGTAATGGTGTCGTCAAAAACTCCTCCAGCATCATCCGCCCCTTCGCCGACAAGTTTTACTTTCCAAGCCCTAGACGGTAGCCTGAGATCTTGCGGCTTAATGTCCACCACCTGCTTTGCTATCTGGATAAATATTGGCTTGCATTTCCGGCCTTAAAATAAAGAAAATTGTGAATATATTGCCAGTAATAAAGCGGTAAAAACAACTTGAACATGAATACACAATTGGTTCAAGACATTTTTTACCAAGAATAACGAAAACAGGCAGTACCTTCTTGGGCAATTCTTCTAACAATAATTTGCGGACCATAGTTTTTACCCTGCACCATTGTTTTACCGATGCACCGCACGAATGGCAAAGTGTAAACCATCGGGGCCAGTAAGTATCTTAGCTTGGAAGAGACCAATCCTTCCAACGGGGGAACCTGCATGTCATTTTGTTCGGAACACAACGGTATCAGATTCCAGCAGGAATACATTTTGTCCGAGAAGTTGTAAAGAAACTTTACGCGACTCTGTAGCGATTTAATTGGCAACCCCTTTAGATGGTCGTATTGAGGCGGTATGCTTGTTGGGAGGCCGAACGTAAGAGGTCTAGTCGTGCCACAACTCCTAGCAGGTAAAGGTGGAGAAGTCCAGGCTGCACTATGAGTTCTACCTGTCGATATTTGTTTAATACCTAAAAAAAATATTTAACAATTTGTAATTACTGGTTACTTAATTATTGTCACAAATTTTATTTAGTCCAGTCTGTGTTTTTGGAAGTTTTCCCTAAAAAGTTTTCCGGAAGTTTTAAAAATTGGTATTTTTACAGATTATTTTTGTAGTGTTCTTTGCGAATTTACATTTTGCCACCTCGTATCTTTACCGCTGGCTCCACCATATTTTAAAAATGGCCCCTAAAAGAGTATTTTGACAATAAATCCTTTCGCAAACTTTTTGCATAGACTATAGGTGCGTTCTTTTCGCCTGAGATCTCAGCTCACTTCAGTTAATGTGATATGAGATGTACTGATGTGAGTAAGCATTAAAAAGAACGACACACTCAATTGAAACGCGCAATCTGAATAAGATGCCACATAACCTATCTCTGATATCATTATATTCTGTGTTATATCTTTATTGGTTTAATTTTCGTGGTTTTCTATGTTTAAATTTGCGTTGAATTATGGATATTAAATATTATTAAAAGAACCTAAAATATCACGTCCGCGTGTACATATCGGTAAAGTCTATATTGTGAAAACAAGTGTAAAATCAAGACAATGGAGATTTCGGGCGATGAAGTTGAAGACACCGACAACCCCCCCTTTTCTGAATTTTTATCAAAGAAGAGAAAGTATAGTAGTTCGGAGTTCATAACCTACGCAAGGCAACTATCTGACGAACAAATAAGGGACATTATCGGATTGGAGAAAAAAAAACGTAAGAAATCAGTAGATAAAGGTCCAAGTAATAACACTAACATATCACAAGAATCAATTCAATCCAATAATGTGACAAATCTACCTTCATGTTCAAAAGTCCCCAACAATTCAACAAGTCTACCTACAACCTCAAACGATGCCAATAATTCCTTAAACTACAAAAAAAACACTTCTAACATCATGAAAAAAATCCTACAAAAAGAATACTTAAACCTATTCTATTTTTCAACTGATAACTTCACTACAAGAACCCAAGTAGCTGACTTATGGGAACAGGAACGTCCACATAACAGTGACACAATCATTAAAACTACCAAAGGTTTCTTACTTAAATCTGACTCCCCAAAGATCATTCTTACAAATTTGTTAAAAAAACTTCAAACCAATAAACATATCTCCAACTTTACTGAAACCAAACCTTATAAAACATCACCAAGAACCCCAAATACTCCATCAATTTCTTACTCATGCGTAATATCAAACGTTGAAAAAGATATTTCCGACAATGATATCCTTGCCCATCTTAAGCAACAAGATTCTGCAATCCAATACTGTAAAAGAATAATCTCTAGGACTACTAATCAACCAACACATTTCATAAGGCTAATTACCAAAAATTCCAATTTAAACGAAAAGCTGCTTAATGAAGGTTTATTTTTTAAATGCAGACATTACGCAATCTATCCAAGTTCTCCCCCAACTCCAGCTCCACTGCCCTGCTCCAAATGCTCACTATTTACCCACACAACAGACAAATGTTCCACCCCCATAAAGTGTCTGAAATGCAGTGAAAATCATCCCACCTTGAAATGCACCTCTGAGCTGCCCCCTAAATGCTTGAGCTGTAATTCAACTGAGCACCAAGCTTGGTCCTTTCAATGCCCCAACCGTCCCACCAAACCTATTGAAGGTATACCTAATCTTCCGGTTAAATCTTTAAATAAAAAATCATCAATGGTAGACAACGCAAAAAAAGAAGCCCGAGTACATTCCCACATCACCATTCATGACCACATTGTTAATACATTTCTTAGAAAGTTAAACAAATCAAGCGCTACACCTCGCGAAGACATTATCCATAAACTTAAACAAAGATTTGTCAAAGAATTCAACATCGAAACCACAATAAGCTTTGTAGGTAATAACTGGATTTACATCCTAATGTTTGATCTCGATATTGATGACCATAGCTCTCCCACTGAAGTAATCCCTGGAAAAAATAATGGACAAGCTCGAGCTCAACTGTAACCTTTTATACTCCAACATAAACAATTTCATGTCTAAAAAACACCTCACACTTCACACCATCGAGAAATATGACATAAGCGCCGCCTTATTCGTGGAAACCAAAACCAAGGAGAGCGACAATACCAATTTTAGGAACTGGAACATTCTTCGGCAAAACGGAAACACTCTTAATCGCAATACAAGAGGAGGATCCTTGGCTCTTATTCACCCTTCACTAAAAATGCGAAAACAAAACTCTCCTCGCATCAACAATCCTTGGAATAATTGCTTACATTTCTCAATTCCTTTTAAAGAAGACCACATTCACATATTTCTTGTCTACATCCACCACTCATCTCTCATAGAACAGTCCATATTTATCATGGCTTCCACTAAAAAGTATGCTCTTATAATTGGAGACTTTAACCTAAGTAGTGCCAACAGATGCAAACAACTCAAAGCCTTCCTAAATAGTTCCAACTTTTCCCAATTTGAGACCCCACCCACGTTTTTAATGGATAACAATAATGATTCCACCCCTGATATACTATTATACACTAAAAATTTAACAAACAACATCACTGGAATCGACTTGTTGCCCGACTTAGGTTCAGACCATTTATCAATGCTAATAAAAATGAATCTGGAGGCCCCCATCGTTACTGAAAACAACATAGTAAACTTCAACAAAAGCAAAATTGAACACATTAACAGCGAACTTTTGAGACATACCAACCAAATGAACCACACTTCAATAAGCAACAACAGTATTAATACCTTCAACAACTGCCTTTCTAATTCAATTCAAAAATTTACGCCTACCTATAATAGGATAATAAATAATTCTCAATCTTTTTTTCATCACAATCTTCCACCACATATTATTAACCTTATTAAAAACAAAAGAAAAATATACAGGCAGTATACTGATATATCAACTGCACCCTGATCCTGCCCAGAAGAAACACATCAACGAATTGTCAAAGTCTATTAAACAAGCTATTACAGTCTTCAAAAACAGCCAATGGATAGCAGCTTGCGAAACAATCAACAGCAAACGGGGAAAAAGTTTTTATTCTGAAATTAAAAAGTTAAGCAGATACAAAACACCAAATCAAATACCAACAATCATTGATAATGACGAGGAACACAATACAGACCTTGATAAAGCTCGAATATTTGCGACACACTTAAATCACCAATATCAAGCTCAGGATAACCCACAATTTAACCAACAAAACTTTGACACAACAATACAGTGGTATAACTCCTACTTTGACTCCGAAAACGACTTTGACCCTCAAACAATTGACGAAGAAGATTATTTCAATATACTTTCCAATCAGAAAAATTCCACCCCCGGAGACGATAACATTCCATGGACTATAATTAAGAAACTACATTACAACGTCCATTTATACATAATTAAACTTTTTGAAAGCTGTCTCAATAACCATTACTTTCCACCCATATGGAAAACAGGAAAAGTAATTATGATACCCAAACCCAACACTGATCACAGCAATGCAGATAACTATCGCCCAATTACCCTCCTACCGTGTTTGGGAAAACTCCTGGAAAAAATTATACTACTCAAAATCAATACCCAAGCCGCTGACAAGATCCCCAATTATCAATTTGGCTTCAGAAGCTCCAGATCCACTGCACATCCTCTTACCGCGGTCATATCCAATATACAAACTGCGAGGCTAAATAATCTTTCTTCTGCGGCTTTGTTCTTGGACATCAAAAGAGCATTTGACTCGGTTTGGCATAAAGGACTTATTTACAAACTTAAGAAGATCGGAATTGCTAATTCCCTCATCTACCTTATCAACAGCTATCTTGAAAACAGACCACTCTACGTTTGCATTAATGGGCAAAAATCTCCTCCACTCATTGCGGAACAGGGAGTTCCCCAAGGCTCTCCGCTGTCGCCACTGCTATATAACATTTATTGTTATGACATGCAGCATGAACACAACCAAATTTTTTCACCAAGCGAAGCAAACTACATTTTACAATATGCAGATGACACTGCACTCTTTGTGCATCAAAAATCACCACAGCTTGCCCTTGAAAGGCTAAAAACGCTTTTCCTTACCATTAATAAATGGCTTAAGGACTGGAGACTCTGCATTAATGCTAACAAATCCAAATTTATTATATTTATTCATCGAAACAACCTTAACAATCTTCAACTTACTATCAATAACCAAATACTTGAGCCAGTTCAATCAGTTAAATACCTTGGAGTACTGATTGACAACAAAATAAACCTGAAGGAACATGCCAACTCTTCCAAAAAGAAATGTATCTCCAGAGCCAGCCACTTTAGATGTCTTACCTACAAGAATAATGGCATTAATCTCAAAACGGCATCAATAATTTATAAATCCATCTGCCGTCCCATCCTTGAATATGCTCCCTCCCTGTTTTTAAATTCCCGAAAATCTACCTTAAATATCCTGAATGTGGCTGAGACTTCTGCAATGAGAAAAATTACCAAAATGAGGCACCCAGGAAATCCACTCCACAACCCTCCCAACACCCTCCTTTATGAAAAATTTAAAATCAGCCCAATTTCTGCGAGATTAATAAAACTATCCACCAACTTTGCCCAGAGAGAAGCCGCTTACCAGTTTCTGGCACCAGTACTGATTCCAAGAGACCTAGAGAGAGCTCCCACCCGAATCAAACATCCTACAAGATCCCTGGTTGAAGAAATGCAAGCTCTAGCTGACGAATGAACACATATACATATATATATATATCTAATTTATTCTTTACATACACAATACTATGTTTTTTTTTTGTTTTTTGCACTCTATCTAATTTCAATTTTGGTTTCTAACACGTGCAAATACATTACATTTATATTTTAATTAACCTTGTCTGAAGGACCTAGGTCAATGGCCTTTTGATTGTTGTTATTTTTATAATTATGATAATCAATAAATAACTATTATTATTATTATTATTAAAATAATAATAAAAGTTTTATTTAATGAAGGTGACAAACAAAAACAATTTTTTGATAAGAATATTAATTTTATGATATAAAATAAAAATTATAAAAAAATCTTCACTTTTACTTTCTTTGTTCATTTAAGTATATTTTAAAAAGTGTTTTACTCGTTCTGAAAAGCAATTTTATTCGAATTCTATTTATTATATCAAGTTTATAGCTAGTTTACAAAATTTAATTTAAGTTTTATTGCAAAAAATCATCTAAATAAGATTAGGTTATGTTATTTAAAAACTTAATAAGTAAATAATTTCTTTATCTCCTCCACTTTATTTCCGACTTAATTCAAACTGATTTCCCCGCACAGCATGTGCAGTATCGGTGAGAGGGGAGGAAAAATCTCAGCTCACTTCATGGTGAGTGAAGCAAAAAGAAGGCGCACATTTGCAAATTTCACCGATGTGAGAAAAGAACGCACCTAATGTTATTTAGCTACAATTAATAAAAGTAGAAAGTCGAATATTATGATTGATCCAAATCACGGTGCATTATTAAATTCGGCCAATCACTGACGCCAACAACTAATAAATAGCCCATAATGATTTATTATGTGCCTACGCCAGAATCAGGAACTAAACATATTTTTTTTTAATTAAAATTTAAAAAATGGTATTGATTAAACATATATTTTAAACCCAACTCAATTGAGTTGGCTTTAAAATATTTATTAATAAATACAATAATATAAACTGACCATTGCAACTATATTTTTTTTTATCCTAAAACGATTAAATATAGAAGATTTTGGTCCTATATTTTAGGAGCATAGAATATAGATTTTCGTTAAATGTAGAAACTCGGCCAATAAAAACATAGACGACACTTGGCCAACTATACAAAGCCGACACTAGGCCAGGCCAAATTTACCCGACACACAGTGTTTCAATTCTCGAAATTTTCGGCAAAATATCAAGGAGTAGTCGGATTTTCCTAAAAATCCGTATATAGAGGTTTTTGGGGTCGCTGATAACGAATCTGAAATCAGAATTCCAAAATTCAAAATGGTAGATCCAAAATGGCGGACATATTTGTCAAAAAATTGACGGAATTAATTGAAAATCACCATACAGGGTTTTTGGGGTCGCTGATAACGAATCTGGAATCATAATGTCAAAATTCAAAATAGTAGATCCAAAATGGCGGACATATTTGTAAAAAAATTGACAGAATTAATTGAAAATCACTATACAGAAGTTTTTGAGGTCGCTGATAATGAATCTGGAATCAGAATTCCAAAATTCAAAATGGTAGACCTTAAATGGCGGACATTTTTATCAAATATTGTCGAAATTAATCAAAAATCCGTAAGAGGTTCTTTTTAAAATGTAATAAAACATCTTTTTATAAAATATTTATTATAATTACATTTATATGATATTATTTAATACCTACATATATATTAAACAATCTCCGTCACTGGATTCGTTCGTTGTATCATTAGCAGAGCATGGGAAACCATCAGAAGATAGCAACAGTTTTATTGCTTTGCGGGACAAAGATTTGCTCTTTTTCGGAGCAATTTTTCTGAAGCTAGAAATATACGGATCGGAAGATGCCATAAGTCAATGGAAAATATCTTCCATCGTTTTCTCCCGAGAAACTTTCAAAATTTATTTATAAAATATAACAGATTTTATACCAAGTATTTTAAATTTGTATTATTTCTTTTACTTAATATTTTAGCAACGATTTCTTAATTCGCTAAAAAAATTGTCAACACAAATAACCACAATTCAAATTTGACATTAACACACTACAATGCGCATGCGGAGTTGTTTTAACGCACCTACAAGAGTGTAAAATCGGTGTTAAATATCTTAGTAGTCACGAACGATTTACGCAAGTGAAAGTCTAGACACCGCTGTTGTAATAAACGTTTTGAGTTAAATCCGAGTGAATCGAGTAAACGTCATGAACGCAACCCAAAAATAAAAAAAATTATATTTTTTAAAGCAAAAACACAGATACGCGCTCGACATAGGCTTAAAATCGCGAGGTTTTTTTACCACAACCGTGCCTGAGCGCCCAAGAACATGTAGTTTTAAAGAGCCGGGGGCAAGTTGGGGCAGCTAATTTATTGATGGCTTGATAGACAAAACTCTAAGCTATTTAACGGATCTTGAACTGATGCCTTACAATTCATTACAATTTTTGTAGCTCCATTGTTCTAAAACCTCGATTCAAAGTTTGCGATTTTAACTGGCCGATCTTGTCGGTTACAATAACCCGTTGTACAAGCAAAATCTACGAAAAACAAATACATATCTGAATTTTAGATACCTTGAAGATCACCCTTCATCAAACCGCATAACAATCGGACACACCAAACACAAATTATTCACTTTTAAACAATAAACAATTTTCCGCAGCGATCGCGTGTAAAGTACCTTTAACTGAAAGCGTCAAGTTTAAACTGATGTACCAGAGAAAATATTCGTATTTTATATATATTTTTTTCAATACAGGATGGAGAAAGGTATTAACTACACATCTAACTCAAAATTTACCTGAAAAAAAAATGTCAATTCTTGAGGTTTTGCCGATATTTTCAAGAATTGAAACACTGTGCGACAGTTGGACAGGCGATTATATTTTATAAGAAAAAATTGAACCTACACCTCGCCAAAGATTTTATATTTTAAATCCAACTTAATGAATACAATTATATAACTGGACAGTGCAACTACATTTTTCACAATAACTATAAAATACTAAATTTCAAAATTCCGTGTCCGCCACTGTACAAAAAAAAAAGGGACATAAATTATAGGAAATTTTATCTACTTTAATTTATCATATAACAAATACTAACAATTTTTATCAAAAAGGAGATATTGTCAAAAACTGGTTTTGGGCACCATTTTTCCAAAGATACAAGGTGGCAAAGTAAAAATTTGAAAGGAGCCTATAAAAAAACTATTAAAAAATACCAATGTTCAAAACATCCGGAAAACTTTTCAAGTACCCCCCTTTATGAGCACCAAATGACTGGACTTTTTACTGGCACCCAATTTTGGTTTTATTAAATTAAAATTTAATAATTATTTAAGTTTTTTTCTTACCTCTGTTTGAAAGTTCTGCAATAATTTCGGGTTCCTTAACTAGAGAAACATGGCTTAATCCCAACTGCGACTCGCTATTCATTCCCCAGCCTAAGACCTTTTCGCAACTGGTCAAAAACAATACATGCTCCGTACCTATAGCAAAATCTTCTACGCAAAACTCGGTTAGACCAGGCAATTGATGTGGCTTATAGTCGGTTATATCTCTAATGTTGGTCTTCCAAGGTACTCTGTCAACGCCGGAAACGAATACCTTTCCGCTTTTGGTTAAGAAAATGGTCAAGTTGGAACCACATCCGACTTTTTTTATTCCAATATTACACATGGATTCAACCTTTTGCGGAATGGACTTGGTGGTGGTATGACCCAGACCGAGTTTTCCATAATCTCCTTCGCCCCATGTCCACACTGTCATTCCATCTGATGAAACGCATGCGGTGTGATTAAGACCACAAGCTACTTGTCCAATTTTGTAATCTTCAAGATAGGTTACTCGTTCAGGAAGCTTTTTATTCGCAGTAGAACCTAATCCCAATCTTCCATAGTCACCATCGCCGAAAGTAAAGAGTTTTCCATCACTTGTCACTACAGCGCTGTTTTTGAAGCCGCAAGCAACTTGTATTACTTCTTCGTGTTGAAGAGCCTCAATTTGCCTGGGTCTTCTCTGCCTGTCGTTATTTCCATGGCCTAATTTTCCGTAGTCACCATCGCCCCACGAAAATACTTCTCCGCTTTCGGCCAGTGCCAAACTATGGCCATCTGATCCAACTGAAGTTGCCAAATCCGTAATCACGAAACCCTGCAGACTAGTTATAACGCTAAGGGAATGTAAATCGTCCGAATTACCCTGCCCTAATCGACCATAAATACCTTCGCCGCACGCCATCACTGTACCATTGGCTTGAATTACGAAAGTGCAATTTTTACCGCAAATGATTTTTTTCGCTATTGAAAATGATTCAACATTCATGGGAACACTTGAGCTGTAACCTAGTTCAGCCAATTGGCCGTGGCGATCCGAACCCCACATATAAGTTTTGCATTTGCCACCGATTTGCCAATCTTCCGGTCTTTGAGTCACCCATTGAATCAGTTGTTCGTCTTGTTTTAAAGTCCAAAAAACGTTTTGGACTGCAGATTGTTTGATATCCTCATCCAGTACCTAAACATATACCAATAAATACCAATTGAAATATTAAGGAGCCTTTCAAATTCTAGAGGCTGGCCAGTCCTGTATCCCAATTTATCAGAAAGCAAACATTAAAAAAACCTGTGCGTGTACTTATGTACGCGCGTTAGAAGTTATACTTATTGTGTGTAACTAAAAAAATTATTTCGTATGCAAAAATTTTATGTAAGTAACGATAAAATGTTTGAAACAAGATATTCAATACAATTAATAGAAGCTCAGTGAACAATGTTAATAGACTTTAGAAAATTTTAATATTTTGAAAATTTATTCCACCATTTTTTTAAATTTATGCTCTCCTGATACTTACGGGCGCACTCTTAAAAGCTGGGGACTCTTAAAACCTGGCAGAAATTAATAAAATAAAATGTAATTTAAAAATACCCACTTATATCAGTTAGGTACTTAAGTTACTGACCCACCTTTCGGCAGTATTTAAAAGTTTGGGATTGTACCCTGATCGCCACAAGATTGCGCTATGTTTACCATTTTAATGCGCAAGGGCTTTGCGTAATTTATTTCTTTGTGTATTTAAAGTGTATTCTTGGTACAATTAATAAAATTTAACAATTGAACCTTTTACTTTTGGTAAGTATTTATAGTTATTTACGTGTCATGCTTTGTAATATATGGAATCCAATGAGCCTAGTAAAGATTAATTGCAAAGCGTGACAAGAACAAACTTTTTTCTACTCCTATTGCATATTATTGGCATTATTTGGGTTTTTTTCGTAAATAATGGTAACCAATATAACTGCCCTGCCTAATACCGTGAATAATGAACTCAATATTCACGTTGTTAGGCATCAGTGATTGGCTGATTTCAATATTCACTGTTATTTAAACCAATCGGGTTTTAAATTGGAAAAAAGTAGGGTTACCAGATGTCAGATTTTTTATATATAGGAGGGGCGACTATAATGATCTGGGTGATCAGGTGAGGTCATAATACATTTTGTTATTAATGAAAATAACTTAATTGGAGTAGAAAAAGCATAGTATTACACTCGAAATAATGCGCATTATTCACTTAGATGATAATATACTATTATTTTCACCTTTAGATAACGATTTTCAAATTTAAAATTTTATCTTTTATACAAGCACGTAAAATATTACAGGTCTGTTCCCATAATGTATCGTTTAAGCTTAATTTTCATGTATCTGTTTGTCCATTAGTCCGATCATCCGGGAGCGCCCTTATTGGTCCAATTATAATTCAAAAATTATAACATTTCATAGGTCCATCAAGTTTCAACTTCGTACGTCGGACGGAGAAAGTTAAAATAATTTAAACTCATCCGTCACTACACACCCGTTTTTGACGCCTAACGTTATTTTAAGATAATTTATTTTCAAATCTTTTAATATTTTTTAATTATGATTAAAAACGCAGTAATTACGTTCGTTATGTGAATGTTATATTCTACTGTCTTTATTTAATAAGAAGAACGGAAAAAAGAAAAGACAAACAAAAAAATAAACCAAAACTAAAAGGACCTGCTTTTTCAAAACTCTACATTTTAATGTATGATAAGGCTAGTATATTATTTTTATATGGTATATTCACCTACCCAGTGTTGTAACAGTTACAATATTTTCAGTATCTAGCTACAGTTACAGTTACTTACCAAACTTTGTAACTAGATACAGATACAGATACATATTTTATTGCAGTAACTAGTTACAGATACAGTTACCTTCAAAAAGTATCTAGATACTTTAAGATACATACAAATTATTTTTTGCTTTAAAAAATTTAAAATAGAAATAAAAGGGAATTTTAAAGTGACAACAAAAATATACATGTTTATTATTTTTATTTTTTTTATAATATTTTATTTAAAATAACTTATTTTTTATAATATTTTTTTTTTTAATAAATAATAGTCGCAGTTTAATTAAAAATGTATCTTTGTATCTTAACACACCTAGTTACTTAGAATTTGTAACTAGTTACAGTTATAGTTACTAGATTGGGATAAGTAACTAGTTACACAAACAGATACATAAAAAGTATCTAGATACTGTATCTAGTTACTTGTAACTAGATACGTTACAACACTGCACCTACATTTAAATTTATTAGACAGATAACTGTTACATAAAGATAAAGTTACAATTGTTGACATAATTGTAACTATGACAATTAAGCATTAGGTAAATTTAGTAAAGTGAAAATACTGGCCCTTAATTTTTATTTGTCGCCAAATCAATCCGTTAAACGTCATTAAACAGAGGCATGAAAATTAAAACATTTCTTGTCGGACGATTTTATTGAAAAACGGACAAACGGATACGTGAAAATTTAACTTTACTTGGATACAAAAGCAACAAAATTAACCTATAAAATGTCATTTACTAAAGCTTAATTTTCATGTATACGTTTGTCCGTTAGTCCGTTCATCCGGGAGCGCTCTTATTGGTCCAATTATGGTTGTGTTCCGTAATTTACTGCCATTACTATCAGTAATTTTACTGTCAGTAGCGAAAAACGACCGTTCCGTAATTTATTCAGTACTGACGCAATAGTAAAATTGGAACGCGCCTCAGTAGCAGCAGAAAGTGACAATGGTTACGCAAGGTTATGATTTGTAATTTACTGACATTTGACAAACTTTACTTTCGGCACAGCAGAGAAAATAAATAAAAAATAAATATAACAGTTATAAGAAATATAATTTTTGGTTTATGCCAGAGAAATATGGAAAATAAAATGTTATCGTCGTCCGCGTCGAAAAATGTATATAGGAATAGGAAATATAAAATTTCACTGACACCACAACAATACGCCAAATACAAAAAATTACTCCTAAATTCGTATATACGAATGCCAATGCCAATGCCAATTGGCATATGCTAAATACAAATGTATAACATTTTCTAGGTACTACCTAGTAGGTAGTTTAATATTCTGGGTCTTCGTATGCGTACTCCCCGGCGACCTGCCTGCCATCCTCCTTTAATTGTTAATTCGTGTCCTTCATCACTGCTGCTTGGACTTTCAAGTAATATTTTATAAATAAATATTGAAATAATTAGTCCTAGGTATTCACCAAATACCATTATATCCTTCACTTTATTTGACAGCTATTTTTATGTTTAAAAGCTTGGTCATATGTTTTACTGGAGCCACAGCACCTCTCTGTCACCAGTTGTTTCAGTAAAATTAATCTGCCGTACATTTATAAAAGGGTAGTATTTACCACTGAGCTCGGTAACTGAAAGTGGATTTCGGAATGCGTTTTCAGTACTGACAGTACTGACAGTAAATTACGGAACATAGCCTATAATTCAAAATGTATGACATTTTATCGGACCGTCAAGTTTCAACTTCGTACGTCTGACAGAAAAATTTAAAATAATTTTAACTCATCAGTCACTACACATCTGTTTTTGACGCCTAACGTTATTTTAAGATACTTTATTTTCAAATCTTTTAATATTTTTTTAATAAGATTGTAAAACGCAAATATAACGTTCTTTATGTAAATAATGTTTTTATTTAATGATAACAGAAAAAAAGAAAAGACAAACAAAAAATATTAAAACCAGAACTAAAAGGACCTGTTTTTTTAAAACTATAGTTTTTAATGTAAATTAAGGCTAGCAAAGTCTTTTTATATGGTATATTTACCTACCTTTAAATTTATTAGACGGCTAACTGTTAAAGTTACAATTGTTGGCATAATTGTAACTATTACAATTAAGCATTATGTAAATTGAGTAAAGTGAATATACTGACCCTTAATTTCTATTTGTCGCCAAATTAATCCGTTAAACGTTATTAAAAAACGGATGCATGAAAATTAGAACATTTCTTATCGGACGATTTTATTGAAAAACGGACAAACGGATAACGGACAAACGGATACATGAAAATTAAGCTTAAGAAGGTGGAAATAAATGATATTTTTGCAACCGTTGGGCGTTTAATATTTTCCGTGAAGCGGTTTTAAGCTGTGACATCACTTCCGACACCTGTTTAAATATTACTCTTAACGCGCCAAATCAGTATAACTTCAAAACTGAAAAACATGCCATTTGACTAGAAAATAATAGCAAGATTCTGCTAAATTGGATAACGTTAACTTGAAAATCGTGGCCAGACTCTAAAATAAGAGATACCTACTTGGATAACTACCTGTATCAAGTTGACGACATTATCGGAAAGGTTGGTTCTTTTAATTAGGCTGTCGGCAATTTGTGCAGCTAAACTAAAGTTATGTAACCATTTATAATCTGGCAGCGTATCCGAATCGGATTTATTGTTAAATGGATTTAACTTATAACAAATTACTTTGTCCAAGTCTAAAAGTAATGCCAATGACGCCAGACTTTTCAGATAGACGGAATGCATTAAATGACAACCAGTTTTGACTGCACGAGTTTCTGAGTGGTATTGCTCCAACAACAGCTTCGGCAAAATTGAAATCAATATTTTGAAGTATTGTGCACTCTTAAATCCTTTTATTCGGTTTCTTATTAATGATGATCTAACAGCTGCAAGTGGTAGGTTTGATGTGGCATCAGCTTTGGAGTAGTTTAAAGTAGATATATCTTTAGATCGTGAAAATGCTATAGCCAAAGCGTTGTTATTTTTTAACCAAATCATGCCATTAGGGTTTATACCGCCACTACCGGTAAGAGTGTAAAGCAGGCTTCCATTTTGTAAACACCAAATATTAACAACACCTATAAATTAAAATATGATTTTAACATATTGCGATAAAAATTGTTGGCTAATAAAAATAGAAATTATTCAGGGAATCTGGAAAAAAAGTAACAAAACAATTTAATTTAATTTATTATTCTTCGTTCCGATTCAAAAGAGGTAAATCAAACATGTTTTTATATAATTAAATTGAAAATTATAAACACGTTTAGAATAGAAAAAATTACCGCCTTATATTATTATTATTTCATTTTTTAAGGGAGTCTTTACTTACCAGTCGGCCCTTTAAGACAACCGCTAGCCAATAATGTGCCGGTGTTATCAATTGCCAGACTGACTACAGGACTGTAAGAGTGTCCTTGGAAATTCATTGCTATTTGGGCAACATTTTCCTCGTCATCCGCATCTGGGACTCTCCAGGCACAAACAGTTCCATAACTTGTACCAATTGCCATCAACAAGGGTGTTTTGCTCTCGCCCACCAATGGAGACCAAGTGATACTTACCTAAAAGAAAATGAAGTAATTTTATTTATCTACTTATTTTATGTGTATTTACTGGTTCATAGGATTGCATTAGAGAGTGAAGCATTTGCATTTTGTCATTTTTTTCTCTCCAAATTTTGCATGTTAAATCCGACGAAATGGTGGCCAATAACAAACTGCGAGGATCCCAACAGATCGCTGTTATTGTGCTTTCGTGTGCTTTTAGTGTCAAAATTTTTCCATCAGTACGGAGCCAGCCTAGTTTAAGGGTTCCGTCGTGATAACCAATACTAAAGGCTTTATTTTCATGATGCCAGTCAATCGATACTACAGCTGTAACAATATATTTATTTTATAACATAAGCCTATTTTTTTAATACATTAGTACAATAGTATATTATATATCAAGTTTGATAAACGCCATTTTAGACAGGAATTTAATTTATAAACGAGCGAGCGCTTAATTAAATGGGTGTCTAGAAAAGTTTATAAACGAGTTGCATACCATACTTTTTCTACGACAAATACTATTATCTCTAAATGATTTAAATTAAATATTTGGGAATCTGTATTACCGCGCCGCCGGTGAAAATGTCAAATTTTTATGTGTAAATCGAAATGCATCCCTTGAAAATGGAGGGTTTAATCCGATATAGAAGCAGTTTTTCACAGTGAAAGTAAAGAAAATGTTTTATGGGCACTTCAAGGTGGAGTCTCTACCCTAAATTAAGTTTAATCTAGTTTAATTATTAAAATGTGTTCAAATAAACTTTTTAAATATTGGCGTTGAAAAACTATTTAATAATTTATTTCTATATTGAGATAATAAAATATTTTTTACATTTAGTATTATTTTACAAGAAGGGCACTTTATTTTAACGATTGTATGACATTTGACAACTGTCAACTAACTCAGCCAGTGACTAAAAACCTGTTGCTAATTTCAGCCCGTAACTAAAATTAATTATACCGAATATGTTTTTTTGCGACCTTGGAGAATATTCTTATTGAATTAAAATAAGGAATAATGATAAGAATCATAATATTATATGATTATAATCAGCGTCGGAAATTTTTTCTCGTGAATTACTTAAATGTGTATTTATTGTATGTAATAAGCACAATTTATATTTACAGGGACTATATGCAATTTATTTCTTCATTCGAATTTCCACTGTTTATTGGGAAACCGGTAAAAATTTAACCCAGGATTTCCATTCGAAAAACACAACAAATCGTGCCACGGTTTTTTTCTCCGATATTTTTAAAATGTTCCGGCTTTAATCTCAAAAACACTCGTGTTATGTGTAACATACGCGTTTGACAGCGGCTTATTAAATGCTGAATTCTGATTACGATGATAACGGCCACGTGGTGGCGCTACTAGTGATGCTTCTTTAGCGTATAAAAACTAACTTACTTTTGTTAACTTTGTTAAGTACTTTTAAAAACAAATATAAAAATGTATCAAAGCCTAATACCTATAGGTATATTATAATATCGAATTTATCTCAATTAAAACAATTCTTAAAAACTTTTTACTCAACCAAAACATAAAATTATAAATGCAATGTATAGTATAACAATATAATTTTTATTCCAAACTTGTAACAGACCCAAAAAGCTTTCCAGTCTGCGTGCACGCCCATGGGCAGCTTCAAATGCCTGGTAAGGATAACTTCCTAATCCATATCCGTGCGTTTGTAAAAATTTGGAAACGTATAGATAATGGCATGAATTATGGAAGTTATTTTAATTTGTAAATCAACAAAATCCATTGCAAAATTATTTATTGGGTCAAAATATTTTTCATTTATTACCAAACACAGGCATTTACAACTTTTTCCAAGCTTAATAATTTAAGATTTTCATTGCCATTAAAAGACCATCCAGAGCCGTTTGTAAACTTGTTTTGAAGATTTAACTTTTTAACCCATATAGTTGTTTGTTGGGAAATTTTATATGTAGTAAGTTAAAAATTGTTGTAACTGCACCAATAGGTATATTTTAAAAGATGCAGTTCAGGTAAATACTTAATTTTGATTTATTACCTTTTGCTTCACTGGCACCCTTAGATACATTTTTAATTAGAGATGGGAATCGGAAAGTTTCCATTTCAAGAAAAGTTTCCAGTCGGGAATTTATTTTCATCTTCAAAGTTTCTTTTAAAGTTACCGGAAACATTCTCGGAAACTTTCCTTGGAAACTTTTCCTGTCAATTGTTGGCTCAACAGCTGATTTGCGAAGTTAAGGCCAAGAAACTGAATAAGGAGTTAATTTGTGTTAATTTAAAGAAGAAGTTTATTGAAAATCTCATCATCACAATTAATAAATCGTTTACAAAAAAATCCTTTGCATTAAAGCCTTTTAAAAGGTAAATAAAATAAAAACAATAAACAAAGTTAAAATCATTATAACGTTGTTGATGTTAATTTATAGGTACAGTACAATGCCAAGAGAAAAATCTTATATTTGGAATTATTACAAAATAGTGCAAAAAAGACCATGCTCAATGCAAGTTGTCGTTAATGCAACTAAAATGGTGAAACATATAAAAAAGTGTCTTTGTGCCCCAAATAATATCTTATAAGATTATCTATGCAAAACTTTAAGTCTACTAAAAGTCAAGAAGAGAGTCAACCAGGTAGCAATGCCAGTACTGAAAACATAAGAATTTGTTGATAACATGTCTCTTAACGCTTTAGTTTAGTCGAAAAATCCTTATGTTGTAAAATTTTTTAAGCAACTATGTACAAGTTTCAAACTATCTGGAAGAAAGAAATTAAGTACAACATAGCTTAACTCTGAATATGCTAGAATTCAAAAAGTAGTTAAAGATAAAGTACAAGAGGCTGATAATATGACATTTCGTTCAGATGGTTGAATAGATGTCAATGGGGTGGCACTAACAACCATAATTGTAGCAACTCCATAGCCTGTATTTTTAAAAACGAAAGACTTGGGCTCACTCAAAAATGTTGATTTTATTTTGCCTGTAGTTTTTTTCATATTTTATTGGTCAGAACTGTAATACTATTTTTAGTATGTTTTACTATATAGGTAGCCAATATTATTTACTTTTGCAATAATTATTCTCCTGGCACAAAAAACTCATTTTCGCAACAAAAAAAAATGTTTTTAAAACTTTCGGGAATTTTCAATGGAAAGTTCGTCAAAAGGGAATTTTGCCATCTCCATTTTTTTTAAAAGGAAACAAATGTATACTTTTAAGAGTTCTTCTACTCGAGGTATTAAGGTTGTTCCAACGGTCGACTAACGCTAACGCTCCACAGCAGAGAAAGCAAAACAATCTCAAGCCCAAAATAACGAATCTTAAATTAATCCACCAGTTAATTTATAGGATACAAACGAAACAAAAACAATAAAATAAAATTAATAATAATAATAATAAGTGTGAAAATAGTGAAAAGTGCGTGTGGCCAAGTTCAAGTCCCAAAGTGCTCTAACGTCGTAAAAGTGTGTGAGTGGGGTGATAGTTAACAACGATAAGCTTACCTGGCTTACCTGGATTACCATCACAATAAAGCGAGCGGTCGAGGCCAAGGAACAACGGACGTTAAGGACAAACAACCGAATTCAAGTCTAATTTAATCCAGCTAAGTAATTTACCTAATTGCATGACCTACTAATAATAATTAGTAAACAAACAATTCCCAACAAGGAAAAATACAGACAAAAGGCTCTAAGACTAGTCCCCAAATAAACACTCGACAAAACCTATAAACGCCTTAATAAAGTCAATCGAAACCAAACATGGAAATTGTCAACACCATCGATCACTCAGTAGGCATAATTAAAATGCCACCCGAAGGAAACTGCATGTTGGCCAGTTTAACCTACCTAGACAATAACCCGAACAGGTCAATAATAGAAAGTGCACACGCATTAAGACAAAGACTGAACAATCACATCAGAACATACAGACCATACGTTCAGGATGCGATCCTTGACCAACCCCACCGTTACGCACACATTACAGACTTAGAACGTAAAACAGAGGCGTACTTAAAGGACCACTCACAAAACGGATTCTGGGTGGGATTTAACGTCGTAATCACAGGGCACAGGGGCTGTAGGCAGGCAGATAAGAGGGAAATAATTGACGACACATTAACCCAACTACAGGAAGTAAACCAACAAGGATAGGTATTAGCAGCGTACTAACCCACATACCCCAATTCATGAACCCCAATTGAATGGGGTTATTTCTAAAGCCCTGGTTGAGGGAGATTCCGGATTGTACCTAGTTTTGGGTCAGTTCAAAGTTCTCCAAAAACCAACCTATTCTCCCTCCTTGTCCAGCACTCCACTAGCCACTGAAATAGTCCCATGGAGATCAGTGTAAGGCGACGCCGATGGAGCCTGCCATACGTACCCATTAGGGTGGTCCTTAATAAGGTTATTTTCAAATTTCTTTGCTCCCAGGGGCTCAAATGCTTCCAAATTAATAAAAAAAAATTCCCTGAAAATTTGAGCTCTTAATATTAACTCTACGATAGTGCGCATTCCAATCTAAGTTTCCTATGGAAATAACATAGGAAAAATTACTTTTGTTGTTTATAATTTTATAAACTGGGAACGAATAAATTAAAAATTATAAATCATACATATTTTTATAGAGAATTTAACGCTCTACAAAAAAGGTCTCTTATAATTTTTCCATTAGTCTATTTGTTTAAAAGTTATTCAACGTCAAAGTTTAATTTTCATATTATTATTAATATTATCAAGGCTTTTTTATGAGGCGCCGTTTGTGTCAAAATTAAAAGTGCTAAATAAACTTATTTTGTTTTATAAATAATTAATTATATGCTTTACCAAATGATTTTTTTATACAATTATTTTTTTATAAATTTTTTTTTTTTGTAAAAAATTTTATAAAATAATTTTTTTATAAAATTATTTTTTTATAAAATAATTTTCAATTCGAATCAAAAATTATTTAATAAAAGACGACGGGCGCATTTATAAATTAATTTTTACTGCAGCCATCTCTATTTGTTTGTAGACACTCGAGTAAACCCGAGTAAACCCGAACACCCCTCCCCAGATACAATTTTATGACGGACTGGGCTTTTGTTTGACGCAATTTGGGAAAATAATAATTTATTATTTTTATTCATTAATTCATTAATTTTTTTATCTACATTTATTTTGATTTTTAGTTTTTAACAAGAATTCCTTATGTTTAAACGTTTTTTATAAGAAAGAACTTGTTAAAAACTAAAATAAATAAATAAAATAATTCTCTTGAAAACAAATTAAAATAAACAAATCAATTCTCTTAAAACAAAACTAAAAATCAAAAAAAAATTTTTATAAAAAAGAATTATTTTATAAAAAAATTATTTTATAAAAAAATTATTTGGTAAAGCATATAATTAATTATTTATAAAACAAAATAAGTTTATTTAGCACTTTTAATTTTGACACAAACGGCGCCTCATAAAAAGGCCTTTATAAGATTAATAATAATATGAAAATTAAACTTTGGCGTTGAACAACTTATAAACCAATAGACTAATGAAAAAATTATAAGAGACCTTTTTTGTAGAGCGTTAAATTCTCTATAAAAACATGTATAATTTATTCGTTCCCAAGTTATAAAATTATAAACAACAACAGTAATTTTTCCTATGTTATTTCCTTAGGAAACTTAGATTGGAGTGCGCACTATCTTAGAGTTAATATTAAGAGCTCAAATTTTCAGGGAATTTTTTTTATCAATTTGGAAGTATTTGAGCCCCTGGGAGCAAAGAAATTTCAAAATAACCTTATTAAGGACCACCCTAGTACCCATATTCATAATCATAAAGGAAACAAATGTATACTTTTAAGAGTTAAATTAAAACTTTAATCGGATATTGTAGAAAGCGGAAAAGTAGCAAAAAAAGAAAATTAAATAATCTTAAATCAGTTTAAGGTTTAAACTGATTTAAACATTTTCTCCATAAATAAATTAATTTAAAAGTTTTAAGTGTATAGTATTTTTCATAAAAATTCAATTAAAATGTTTTACAGAAAGTCCGAAAATGTACGTATATTTTAGACTCGCTTTTTGAACTAATTTTGAAAATTAAATTTTTTACCCAACTTAATAATACTAAAATTATATTACCTTGTGATAGGGTGAAGTTAATGAGCATCTCAACGACCTTTCCTTCATCATGAATCGTAATGAGAGATACGGATCCATCGATTTTTCCAACCATAAGGAAGTTTTTATGGCTTTCCTCGTTTTTATATTTTGGCCAAGTAATGGCGGTAATAAACTCTCCATGGTCTTCAACGAACGATTGTTTAAAACCGACTGTTTGTTTAATTTTCTGAATTTGCCAAATGTTCATGACATTATCAAGGGTAGCGGCGATATAGTCGCCGTCTGACGACCATTTTAGATGCCCGATGAGCTTTCCTTGAAGCTCATTTCCAAAAACGTCCGGTGTAAAGTGGAACACTAACGGTGCAATGGTGTTCTGGGATTGATCGTCATCCAAAGTCCACAGCCGGACTGTCCCGTCACAGCCGGCGCTGGCTAACAACTGATTTTTTTCGTTATAGGCCAAGGAAGACACTCTGTTATCGTGTCCCTCGAGTTTGGTAACATTTTGTTTGGGCATTAAACCCGACAAGTCGGCATAATTTATTTGTTCAACGCTAACGCCAGCCATCATTTGAATTTTCGTTGCAACGCACTTAAAAAGCTGTTGCGCTGCCCATTCCTTCTTCTTGTAGTCAACCCTTCTGGATAAAATATAAGCTGACAACGCGTTGATTAAAGATAAATCTTCAGCGTTAGTTGGTGATCCAATGGGACTAAGTACCGGTTCTTCCTTAACCAAATTTAGTAGGGAGCATCCGCCATGAGTGGAAAGAATGTTTACCAATGCTTGTGTTACGGCAAAATTTGATGGTGACATAACAACGCCAAAGGCAGATGTCAGTAAATCTTTGGTACACATCTTCACCACCATATTGGATGACTTCATCTCATTCTGAGCCAACGCTGCAATAGTAATGCTCAAACAGTTCAAGCATGAATTTGCGGCCGTCGACAATTGAGTAACAAGTTGGGAAAAGTTCTTAGGGACCCTAAGTGTAGAAATATCATGGCTATTTTGAATATTTTTTATTTCGCATCTATTCATTGCAGCCAACCTCATTAATCTCACAACTTTGGTGATATCAGACAAGCCAATAGTTTCTAAACAGCCAACGAGTGTGACATAGTTTGTATTAATAGATAATAAAGATAATACGTTCAGAACAATGGATCTTGATATTAAAATGTGAATAGACTGTGTTAAATGTTTTAATGCCTCTATTCTGTCCATGGAAGAGGTAAGAGATATTGCTTGGTCCCCAATAAATCTCGCATGCAGTTCATCACAATTTTCTTGTTTCTGGTTAAGTTTGGAAACAGCACTGAATCCGAGTGGATCGAGTTTGTCGAATTTAACAGGTTCTACTTTAAATTCTTTATCACTTGTCCCTAAATATAATTTAAGTTTTTCCACTTCCTCTGTTTCTGGAACAGGTTTAAGTAGTTGAATGTCAGTTTCAGTCATATCTAAAACGAAATAAAGTTATCAGAGACATAGAAATATTGAATTTAAATTAGTTTGAAATGAAATTACTTATTACCATTTTCGTCAAAAATGATATCGGGTGCAATTCCTTGCAAGCGATTTTCCCTGCCATTTTTATTAAGATGTTTGTTTTTGCATTTAACGCATAATACATAGTAACCGCCAGTACAGTATCCACAAATTCCAGGGCCCCAAGCCAATCCACATCCTGGATGATAAGATATAAGATGAGCATCCAAGTACGGTGAAAGGTGATCACAGTATGGACACATAGCGCATGGGTTTTCGATCTAAAAGAAAAAACTGACAATTTTGTTTTTTTTTAACCTTAAAGTATCTTCTAAACAAAAATAAACGCGCACAGATCATAAAGGAGAGGTGTACAAAACAAAGAAAAAATGATAGAACCAAAAGCTCTTTAGAGTTGGGCAAAATGTTTAAACACCTTAAACTTTAAAAAAATGCGCGACAATTCCATTCTTAAAGAAAAAAACAAAATCGCGCGGATACAGGATTTCGTTTGGGGGGGATTTTTGTGTGATTTTACCTATCTTTCAAGTCTTGGTTGTTCAATACCCGCGTTAAAAGAACAAGGATAGAACTCCAAACAGAATAAAGTGCTTCGGTCGTTAGTTGGAGAGGAAATTGCACCAATTGCATCGACGGTTTAAGCTATTATGTGATAGTATATTATAGTAGGTACATAATAGCTCAAACCGTCGTAACGTAACGAAGTTTTAATAGCTTAGAATGATTTTTGTAATAATTTTGTGTGCAAAACTCAACTTATTCCACCACACGCACCCTCACTCAAACAAAAATACTAAAGAATTGTATAAACATGTATTTGTCACCCTAATATAACAAGGTTGTATGTTAAAAAAAACGAAAAATTAAAGTCTATGTTTCTACAGGATTATACCTGGCCTACGCTTCACATACCACTTAAAAATAATTCTATAGAATGTATATTCTATGTATACATATATATATAGTTATTTTCAAATTGTATGTCAAGGGTGGATTACATAAAACCTTGTAGAAGCATAAACTCAAATTTTTCGGTTTTTTAACATACAACCTTGTTATATTAGGGTGACGTATTATTGATTTACAAAAAAATCATTGACTGAACAACGCATTACAGAGTAATTTTTTTAAAGAAAGCACTGTTGATTGTTTATAAAAAAACAAGTAAATATTTTTTTATAAAATTTATGTAAAGTTATCGCCTGTATAGGGACCTCGATAGAGACTTTTTTTTAAACAAATTGTTATAAAATTCTGACATCTGGTAAGTCCAGGGTCCACTTTAGAAAGCCTTACCCAAAATAAATAAAGTATTTTTAATTTAAAAAAAAAACAATTTTTCCCAAAAAAGACAATTTTTCCAAGGTCAGGGGAAAAACGTAAAAAACAGTTTATTATCTCAATTTTTCTGTTTTTTTTCGACGCTTCGTTCCGACTTCGTTCTTTTTCATGAAACTGAGGTGTGTGGTAAAAAACGTCGGTTCTTTTTAATGACGGTCCGTCAGTTTTCGTGACTGACGTCTGTGGGATTTATAAACAATAGTGCAGTCGCAAAAGTTAATGGAAAAAGGAATTTTTAATAGATTTTATTGGAACCAATGGACATTTTTTTTTGCCTGTAGCGGATAAAATCAATGGAATACCGAGACCGGTATGAAAACATTAATAAAAAAAGATCTTTGTTTTTTATGTTGTTTTTTCACGGTGCTGTTCTGAGAGGTGATTTTTTGACTTTCTGTGAAACCTAATTTTTTTTTATATTCTTGTTAATTAGTAGTGTTGCAACGGTTACGGTTACGGTTAATTCACGGTTTTCGATATTATACGGTTAACCGTAACCGTATGTCGTTAACCGTAACCGTATTTACGGTTTTTCATGCTACTTTGTGAATGCATGTAAAAAAAAAATTAAAGAGTAATTAACGTTACCAAATATACCACCTAAGTCAAATCCGTTTACATTCTGGAAAACGTGTTACACGTTTCGGCGTTTAAGAGTGTTGGCACTAAGGTATTATACAAACCATTGTCAGTGAATTCGGAGAGGTTGTTTTCGACTGCAGGTCTTGTGCAAACACCAAATAGGAACAGGCTGATTCCGCAGAATTTGCAGATGTTATGTTTTTTAAATAAAAATTTGACTCGTAAATTTTGAATATTAACATTTAATTTTTTTATATTTTTAAATATTTTATTCAGGTACCTACTTAGGTTTTACTTTACTGTTTTTAGGTTTAAAATGTAACTCATTTCCTATTGTTTTACAGTTTTATTAGAAATTCTGTTTTTGTTTTACATAAATTATTATTTAACCTTTACTGAACGTGTGTATTAATTTCAAAACTTTATTTTTCGTAATTCTGTATTTTTTTTTGAATAACCGTGAATTTATTCGTAACCGTATAGCTAACCGTAACCGTAAAACCCGAAACCGTTGCATCACTATTAATTAGGTCATAACTAAAATTTTAAGAGCAAAATTTGACGGTTAATTTTGTTTTAATTGGATGTTTATTAAAAATATTATGCACACTTTCAATTCTCCAATTAAAACTTGCGATTTTATTTAAATATTATCATAACTTTTTAAATCAGATTAAAGATTAGTTAATTTCCTAAAAAAAGGTCTATACATTTTTTATATCTTTTACTGTTTTGTTGTAATACAAGTTTAAAGTTTTAATTTAAGGTTAAATGTATAGTATAAATTTATTAAACAATAATTCTAAGGGTGCCACATTTTATTTAGGGCCGATTTATTCATTTTTGATTTATTTGACGAATAATTTCTTTGGATACTAGATATTGCCAAGACATGAAAGTTATCGGCCCGATAAACTTTACTAAAGATGAATAAACCGGTCCTTAGTTAAATTTCATGAATTTCTTCGTAACTTTTACGACAATTTTTCATTTTTGTTTATAAAAAACACTTTTAAAAACTAAACAAAAATTATAGAATACGTATACTGAAAATGACAATTCAAACGTCAAATAAATGTAGGGATTTAGTTGCTAGATTATTTTAAGAATAAGAAGTCCGTAAACTTTAAATTAAAAATAGTTGTTTATTAAAAATATAAAGTTAAACAACAAATGAAACTAAAAGTAAATATAATACGTCTTAATACAACGACGGTCGCGTTAAATCTGACTTAGGTACTATTACAAATCTTTTGGTTACTTCACATTCCCACGCATCTATTTTAGTCTTTTACGTTATCTACACTTTCACACACATATTATCAGTCCTAGACCCTTGCGGTCGTTCGAAAACAACGTATTGAACTTAAACACTTGACGCCTAATTTTAACCTACATAAATAAAAGTCTTTAAATCTAAACATTCTCACAGAGCCTGGGAAAATTCCGATGCTACATTCGGCCATCCTGCAATGACCTCTGTCCTCAGAGGTTATCCTCGGCTTCTTCGTCGCTGGTTAGGACACCCTCATCATAGCTGGCCCATGGCTTCATATTATCCGCCGAACAAGAGGTTTCCCTGGGTCCTTCGTGTTCTCCAACTTTTATGACCGTATAGCGATCATGTCGCATAACGCCATTAATCTTGTACGGTCCTAGGAATTTGCTACGCAGCTTTGACCCAGGCATGAACTGCGTTCGTTTGATTGCCACCATATCGCCCTCCTTGTATTTAGTAGCTGCCTTACGCCTCCGGTTGTAACCCCTTTGATTTTCCTCCTGCGTTTTGGCTATTTTCTGCTTCGCTGCCTCTCTTGGTTCGTCACGATGTTCCTCAAATCTGGTTACCCATTCTTCTTCCACTAACTCGCGGATTCGCGGGTCGTCTTTAATACGCATATTTACTCCAAATAATAGTTGAAATGGAGCTTTCCCCGTACTGCGACTTGGAATGTAATTTAAATATCGTTGGACATTTTCAACGTATTTAAACCAACTTTCAGGGTGGGGGGCGGCAAGTTTTGTAAGAAGAGGGATTATGGTACGGTTCACCCTTTCTACCTGACCATTGCCCCTGGGTACGCCTGTCACTATTAACACGTGGTCAATGTTTTCTTCGAGGCAATAATCTTTAACGGCACGTGCCGTAAATGCTGTCCCTCTGTCAGATATAATCCTCTTTGGGTTACCAAATACAGATGACTGTTTCTTAAGTCGGTCAATGACCTCTGCGCTATCTGTTGACTTTGTTGGATACAGCCACACAAATTTTGTGAATGAATCAACCACTACAAACAGATGCTGATATTTCTTTTTTGTTGCCGTCATAGGCCCCAGATGATCCACATGGTATGTGTTTAAGGGTGCATCACCTTTATTAATAGGGTTTAACAGCCCCTCTGGTTTTCCGTGTTTTCGCTCAGCCAGTATACAGTTAATACAATTTGACACCACTTTTTCTACTTTTTCGCGTAATCCCGTAAACCAAAAGTCTCTGCGAACTATAGCTTCCGTCTTATTTACACCAAAATGTCCACGGTCATGAGCTTGGCGCACAACTTGTATTTGCATTGTCTTGGGTACCACTAACAACAAATCATCCTTTACCACTTTATATAAAAGTCCATGTTGCACAACATAACCGCGTAGTTTACAACGCTCATTATCTTCTACCAACGTGCGAATTTCTTCGTCTTCACTTTGCGCTTTTTTGAGGTTTACAATTAGTCCATTGTCATTATCACTTATTAGTAAAACACTTGGTAACGGATTACGACTTAGTGCATCCACATGCTTCATGTTGTTGCCCGGTCTATGAATTACTTCATAGTTAAACTCTTCTAACAATAACGCCCATCGCGCTACACGCACACACAAGTCTTTCTTTTTCATAGTCATTGCAAACGCTTGACAATCCGTATATATCTTAAAGGGAATTCCTAGCAGGTAAACCCTAAACTTTTTTAACGCCTTCACAATAGCCAACACTTCTAATTCGTAACTAGAGTATTTTTCTTCAGCGCTCGTCGTTTTACCACTCGCATAATAAATCGGGTGAAATTGTCTGTCGACACTGTCGCGTTGCATTAATATCACTCCGTAACCGCGTCGCGACGCATCCGCATGAAGCTCCGTATCGGCACCCACACGATATAACCGTAAAACTGACCCGTTAGTTAGCGCTGTCTTTAAAGTTTCAAAGGCTTCCACTTCACGCACTTCAAATTTAAATTTAGTGTCCTTCTTTAATAAATCTGTGAGAGGTCGTGCTATTAAAGAATACCGTGGTATAAATTTACGAAAATATCCTGTCAACCCCAGGAAACTTTGTACTGTCTTAACATTTGTCGGTTTCGGAAAGTTCATCACCGCTTTTGTCTTGATTTCTGACGGCCGCACTGTATTGTTACTCACAATATGTCCTAGATATTCAATTTCCTTTCGTAAAAATTGACACTTATTCCAATTAATTTTTAACCCGTGTTTTGCCGCGACTTCTAACACTACTTTAAGTCTTTCGATTGCTTCTTTGTTATTATTTGCGGGTATTATCACATCGTCGATATAAGTCACTACAATCTTACGTTGTATTAGATCCTTAAACACCGCATTTATAAACTTTTGAAAATATGCCGGTGAAACACTTAGTCCAAACGGTGTCTTTAAAAATTCGTACTGACCGGTCGGCGTTACAAAAGCCGTGTATTTTTGACTCCGTTCTTCGACTGGCACATGGAAAAAACCATTTTCCAGGTCGATCGTCGTAAATATTATTGCACCTTGTAATGAATCTATTTGATCCTCTATCAGTCGCAGCGGGAACTGCAATCGTTCAATTTTCTTATTAAGTGCCCTGTAGTCTACACATACTCTTGTCGTACCATTTTTCTTTTTAACAAGGACTATTGGACTCGCATATTCCGAGGTTGAAGGTCGAATTATACCATTGTCCAGCCAATCCTGAATAACACTTTCAACTTCGTCTCTTTCTGATGGTGACAGTCTTCTCGGTCTGGCAGCCACTGGAATATCGTCTTTCACAATAATTTTCGTTTGAATCCCGACGCTACACGTTTTCTCGGGCTTATAAGTATTAATTAATTGTTTTAGTCTTTCGCGATCACTTGGTTCTTTAATCTGTGACATATCCACATTTGTTACGTCTACTATGTTAATATTATATATTTCCGGCACATCTGGATTATCATTAACTTCTAACTTCGCGAAAGTAACGTTTCCTCCTTTTACTCTTAATTCCACCTTGTTTAAAAAGTCTGTTCCTAACAATAGGCCTCGTTTTAAAATTGTACTACTAACTACATGAAACGTAATAGGGTATTCTTCCCCATCGACCATAACTCTTGCGGAAAATTCACCCATTGTTTCATTACCGATAGAGCCAAGTCCCTCGAATTTAATCTTGCGGTTTAGCAGCTCAGGTGATCCAATTTTGACATATTCGTCTGTCCTCATAAAAGTAAGATCGCTGCCTGTATCTACAAGCGCCGTAAACTTTTGACCCCCTATCACTACGTCTTTCATGTATTTTTTATCTCCTGGTCGCGACACAAGATTTGCTTCTTTTGCTTTTGTGGGACAAAATGTTGCTTTGTGTCCATGTTCGTTGCATTTAAAACACTTGACACCCTTGTCCTTCACTGGACAGTCTGCACTTACGTGATTTTTATCACCACAATTAAAGCACCGCCTCGTTTTTGTCGCTGCCGCAGCTGTCGTTGACATTGCCGCCTTTTTTTGGGTTCCTTTGCTGTCGTCTCTCCGTTCTGCAACTTTCGCTTTGTTTTTCATTTCTCTTTTCATACCTTCATATTGCAAAAATCTCTCTTTCAGTTGCTTTATCGTCTTAGCTCCGTATAAAATAGACTTGTTAACCGCATCGTCTGCGATTCCTTCTATTATGTACTGAATTACGGACGACTTTTCGACCTTTGCCGGTGCCGCAATTTCCAGCATTTTGTAGACGTACTCCTGGTATGTTTCGGTCGTCTTTTTTTTTCTTTCTTGCAACTTTGCGTGAATTCGATGACTATCTACTCGGTCGTCAAATTCATCTCTTAGCGCTCTTTTCAGTCGATTCCACGACTTCGCACACCTTTCGTAAATAACGAATAGTCTGGCTGATCCTGTTAATAATCTTTTTGCGTATGCCACCTTTTGTACTTCGGTCCATATGCACATTTCGGCCATATCCTCGAAATCTTCGATCCACCGTCGCACATCAGCCTGGTCGTCTCCACTGAATTTCTCGAGGGATTCTTCAACGTCCCTAAAGGTTAATTGCACGCATGGCCTTGCGCGTGACCTGTTGCGGACATTCGGCGTTAACCTTTCTTCATCTTCTTCGTCGTAATGGGCGTTGCGCTGACTGCTCTCAGCCCGCTCCGCCAATTCGTCGTCGTGTTGCCCGTCGTGTTGCCCGTCGTCTTCGGCGTCGTCTTCTTCTTCGTCGTCTTCGTCGTCGTTGTGACCGTCATCTTCTGGTTCGTTTTCTCGAACCCCGTGATTTCTTAATAGTGTTAGCGCATCCATAAGGCGATCCACCAGCTCTCGCTTTCTTCCCGACACTCGTAGTTGACGTCGTCTTAGCTCTTCTTTGAGCTCAGGAACTGTCATGCGAAGCACTTGTTCGTCTTCGATGTCTACTAACCCTCCATTTTTGTCGTTTTCCATGTTTCACTTTTGTTTATTACACTTTTCAACTTCTCACTCGCGAATAACCGTTGCTAAATCCACTTAAGTGTAGATTGGCTAAATCAATCCCGTTTGAGCCCCCAAAATTTGTAGGGATTTAGTTGCTAGATTATTTTAAGAATAAGAAGTCCGTAAACTTTAAATTAAAAATAGTTGTTTATTAAAAATATAAAGTTAAACAACAAATGAAACTAAAAGTAAATATAATACGTCTTAATACAACGACGGTCGCGTTAAATCTGACTTAGGTACTATTACAAATCTTTTGGTTACTTCACATTCCCACGCATCTATTTTAGTCTTTTACGTTATCTACACTTTCACACACATATTATCAGTCCTAGACCCTTGCGGTCGTTCGAAAACAACGTATTGAACTTAAACACTTGACGCCTAATTTTAACCTACATAAATAAAAGTCTTTAAATCTAAACATTCTCACAGAGCCTGGGAAAATTCCGATGCTACATAAATTTGTAATAGATCTAAGTTTCATGGCAACCTTTAAGGATATATTAATTAAGGGAACATAAATGTATACGTCAAAGGTTAGATTAAAAGTTTGAACGTTTATTGCAACAAAACAGTAAAATATATAAAAAAAAATGTAAAAACCTTTTTTTTAGTTATGCAAATATTAAATATTTAAATTAAATCGCTAGTTTTAATTGGATAATTGAAAGAGTGCATAATATTTTTAATAAACAGCCAATTAAAACAATTCAAACCGTCAATTTTTTTTTATTTTGCTCTTAAAATTTTAGTTATGACCTAATTAACAAGAATATAAAAAAAAATTAGGTTTCACAGAAAGTCCAAAAATCAACTCTCAGAACAGCACCGTGTTAAACGCAAAGCGCTATGACAGCACGAACAAAAATTTAATGTCAAAATTTCTTGTAGTGCGGGAATTGACATATTGACGTTTTGGCACGTTGTTTTGAATCGTGGCGATACAAACGGTTGAAAAAGAACGAAGTATGTGGGGGCCTTAAAACGTTACTCATAATAACACGCGAACAGTTATGGATATATAATTAACGCGATACTTAAAGGTGAAACAATCCATTTAATCACTCTGTAAAACGTCCTAAAAGGCATATTTCAAAAGATTTTGTCTTGCAAAAAATATAAATAACCACGTATTAAATATACTTACGTTAACAAATTCTGAAAAATTGGTATTCATTAAACCATCAGCAGAAGATAAACCACCATTGGAATTGTCGTCATCGTCCGAAAAAGCCAGTAGAGGATGCGCCTCGCCTCTAACATGTTGCCGTTCTCTTACCCTGTCAGATAACGTCCTGTCTCCACTTCTGTCCAAAAAATTAAGTCTTAGTTCCGAACAGGCCCGTCTTCTTGGTCCCATTCCCCTTCTATTAGGGAAATCTAACTCTGAGGCTACGTCGGAACACTAATGAAACAAATTGCCTTTACATGTTTTGCAAATCTTTAAAGTTGTGGTAGTTTTGGCCCGGGAATTAATTTGCAGACGTAATAAATATGATATAGTGTTTACCTGTCTAATCAAATCTGACGATCTTTCCATTACTGCTCGATAAAGATCCATCGATCTCGGTTGATCTTCGTCAGTTCCGGTTTCGGAATAGGGATTGTCCACCATCCAAGTAGCCAACATATTAACGGTCTGGGCGCTCATCTCGCCTGAACTTTTAGTCTCTATTACGGCTCTGAGAATGTGACGAAGAGTAAAGCCCATTTCGAGCAGAGGAGCAGCAATAGGCGGTGGAGGTGGCGAGTTTGACCTCCTTCGTATTCTCCATAATTGTTCTTCTGAATCAGCGTTAGAAACAAGATGTCGTCTTGAAGAATTTGAAGTTGCACCTACAAATAGTAGTAATTCTTATTACGTGTTTGAAAAACACTTAATATCTTTGCTGTGCCATTCATGAATAAAAAAACAAAAAAATATACTATTAGTTCAGTCATTTTGAAGTTTTGATTTGAAAGTTTTTCGGGAGTTTTAAAAATTGGTATTTTTTTATAGATTTTGACGTGTTCTTTTTGAATTTTCACTCGTATCTTTGGCGCTCGCGCCGCCATATTGAAACAGTTTTTTGACAATATCTCCCTTTTGACTTATTTTACCATGAAAATATGATATGATAAATTAAAATAGAGAACATTTCGTATAACCTATGTCCTGACGCGTATTGACGAAAAAACTTATTTTCACACCACCAATAGGCATGATACTATAACTCAGTGGCGGCTGGTGGATTTTGGGCACACCCATATCTCAGTTATTAGACATGGGACCCACATCAAATTTATATGAGTTTATAATGACATTATATAGACAAGTTTTGCGCAAGCAGAATTTAAATTAAAGTTTGCGAAAAAAAGTTAGTTTTTAAGTGCAACCCCCAGCCTCCTGCCCCTCCAAATTAAGATAATTCAAATTAAAGTGGTACAATATTTAATTCACTAAAGTTTATCGACAAATTTCATTAAAAAAAATCAAGAATTACAGGTTTTATACCATTTATAATTTTTATTAAAGGGTTTTTCATTTAGAGCGTCAGAACTTTTAAATGAGATAAAAAAATAACTACATGTTATAATCCCGTAATCTATATTTTATTTTGAAGAACGATCGATGACATTATGTTTTAAATATAATATCGTTTAAATGTCCCCCTCGACTTTGCCTGACTGAATGCATTATGAAGGCCTAATTTCTACTATTCTTTTACAAATATCGCGTGGTATACTTTGAATAGTGCGTTTAATGTTTCGTTTAAGGTAGAGAATTGTTCGTGGCTTATTTTTGTAAACCTGAAATTTCACATGATCCTTTAGATGCACAAAAGTTGACTTATTTGCCAGTAAACCAGTTTTTTCTTAAACGATAAACCTTATATTTCTCGCAACTTGAAAAATGTTTGGCAAACCGAACATGCATTTTGATGGTAAATACGAATTATTTCTAAGCGGTGTTGAATTGTTATCTGTCCATATTAATTTGACACAATGTACTGAACACATGTGTTGTCAAGATTTGACATTTACATTCCAGAGCAGCCTTATTTTTAGGGTTAAAGTTATGACACTCAAAATGGAAAACCCTTTATTTCTTTTACTAAATTTAAAAAAATTTGAAATGATATAAAATCTGTAATACTTGAATTGCACTTAAAAACTAACTTTATTTCGCAAACTTTAATTTAAATTCTGCTTGCGCAGAACTTGTCTATATAATGTCATTATAAACTCATATAAATTTGATGTGGGTCCCATGTCTAATAACTGAGATATGGGTGTGCCAAAATCCACCAGCCGCCACTGCTATAACTATACTATCTCCCTTGTCTCTGCTATAACAACATACTACGATACTATAGTATCGTAGTATCATGACCATGAGAAAGAGTAGCTGGCACGTGGTAAGCATAATCGCAGATGGACCGGTTTTGCGAGTTCATCGTCTTCAGAACAGATGTATATAAATATGCATAAAAATGCCCAAACTTATTCTACCTTAGGTTCGTGTCGAAATGAGTTTTTCACCAATGCGCGTGTTGGGGTAGACTAAAATGAATCAGAAAGAAGATATTGTCAAAAACTGCGCCATTATTTTAGTTCGGGTCACAGTGGGCGAAATCCAAAAAACCTAGCCAAAAGGCGTGAAACGTCAAATTTTGTTAAGCAATTTAGTGATAATAAAGGTTATGCTCAAACAATTATATTACTCAAAAGATAAGTTTATAATATAGAGCAAAGTACTGTGCGTTCCTTTTAAGCTGGGCGGTCTGAGGAATGTCATGCTGTCCATAATCTATATGTACCGGCGACATTGTCCCCCACTACAGTGGCCAACTTAGATGCAACGAACCTTGTACACTAAACTTATAGGGAAGAGCATAGCTCTTACCCTATATAAGCGCACTTTTTCGGCTGTCGCTAACTGACGTATATGGACCCGGGCCAGCGCCAATTTCAGAAACATGCTCGACAGCCGAATAAAGGTGTGGCGACCACCCTCCCAAATACAGAAAACATCATTTATCCTAGTTCTTTCATAGACGAAAACCATGACAATAATAGTGACTCACCAAATCCAAGACTGCCATACCATCTATTCATGCCATATACTAAATAAACGACCCATACTATATAGAGGTGTGGTGACTGAACAGTCGCCGAACCTTTATTTCCCCGGTCGGTGCACCTTTATTTCAATATAAGGGTGTAGCGACGGGCAACTGAACCCGATAAAGGTGTAGCGACAAACCAGTCGCTGCACCTTTGCGGAATGACAAACAGTGTGTTTGGAGAGAACTGGACACAAAATGGAGTTGACGAGGTGGATGATGCGGCGGCTTGTAGTCATGGGGACAAACCTGCCACACGACACGGATTCACCGTGGTACAGCACCCCGCGGTACAACACCGCGTAGGTGTGTGTGGCGGGAGGGCCCCCAGGGCGGCAAGCTGCTGGAGTCGTGAAACCGAGTCACTTCGAAACCAGCAAACTTAATCAATTATTTAACCAGGTTTTTTGCTAATTTTTCCTGGGCAGCTACACAGTTTTTACTTATAAGTAATCACAAAAAACGACTTTTCTTAACTATCGAACTAGGTCCCTCAAAGCAGCAGAGCCACATAATCACCCTGTGAACAAACGGCCAAACTCCAGAAATATATAAATGAAGGTAGAGCACGAAGGGCGACTATCATCGTCGGCGATTCGGGAGGTCATGGCCCCTGGACGTAGCCCAGAGGGATGGGTATATATTCAAATTCAGTTTATTCACCATAAAAGTCAACAGTACAGTAAAGTAAATCATTATACAAACTATGTATATATTTAAAATCTCTCTGTAATTATCTACCTTTGTGTTTTTGTATTCTTTATGTAAACCTGTGATATTCTTAACTTGTAAATAAATGTTTTTGACTTTGACTTGAACCTTGTATCAATACTCAATTCAACGCTCTAAGAAATGCCCTAAAATTTAAGTTTTAAACAAGCGGAATACAAAATAAAGAATTATAGATTTAAAATAGTTTGAAAATGTTTTAGTTTTGTAATGGTATAAAGAAACCAGAAAACTATAAGAAACTCAACAATTTTTTCGCATTTAACATTAAATACCGTATAAAAAACATAAAAATTATATTCCATTGTTACTATGTCCACAAATCTAGGGAGTCAATTTCCACCAAACCGATTAAGCTGAAATTTTGCATACACTTTGATTTTTGATTCAGCGCTACTGTGCGGCGGCGCGAGTGACAAAGTAAAAAAACACTATACGTCGAAATCTATAAAAATACCAATATTTAAAATTCGACCGGAAAATTTTTGTAGTCACCATCTTGAGCACCAAATGACTGACTGCTTTTTCTATTCTATAAAAACAAATATCTTACCTAAGGAGCTAGGAGGATGGTAAATTGAGCCCATGGATGACTGTGGAAATGACGGTTTTGGTATAGTAATATAAGGCTTTGAAACTCTATTTATAGAAGGCAGTGATATTGTAGTAATACTTCCACGGGCCTCATTGATCATCGAATCCGTAGAACTTTTTTTAAAAACACTGGTATTTGGGGTGCTATTAACGATATTCCTAAATGTCATATTTTCATAGGACTTGGATTTTTTGTAGCTCATGTGTAATACAGTTGCCACCCTTTCCATGTCAGCAACTGATACAATTTCCTTTAACTTGCAAGCAGAAATACTGTTATCCACTAAGCAATTCATTATTTCTTTGATACATTCCGTATCTTCCTGTTTGCCTTTAATCAAAAACAGTTCCCTGAAGGAGTTTGAGGTTAAAAACAACCCAAGTGTCTTTAAAGCTGCAAATTGCAAAAAGAATAGTCGCAAACATTCTTCTTCCGATTCCAACAGTTTTTTCTCCAGCAATTTGGCTTCAACATTATCAAATTCTTGGTTATTAATGGTTTCTTTATTTTCTTTTTGCATTGAAATGCCTTTATTCGTCGATATTTTATCAGTAGTCAACCTTTTAACCTCTCCCAGTATGCTTGATACCATATCATTAGTCAATGATTCCATGGTCCTTGGCGGTTTTTCATTTGCCTTTTTCTCATTACACACATTTAATCCAAAAGTGGATTGTACATTTTCAGTTTTCCAAATGTTCTTTAAATTGACTTTGTTGGGATTAACAAGATTCTCTTCTTCTTTTGAAAGTTTACAGTCTGCCAGCGCAATTTCATTAGTTATTCCGCTTAGCCTGGCAATTTGAAGAAAAATGTTTGGTGTCACCCCTAAATAAGGATTATTATTTTCTAGATTTTCATTTCAATAAAATTACCTGGAAGCTTGCTGCAATTAAAAGGAACTGGTTCAATATATTCCAGATTGTTTAAAAATACATCAGAAACACCTCCATCCGACTCCCATTGCACAGTTATACCACTAGTAATTCCACGCTTTAAAACACCCAAAACTATTGCTTTTTTTCCCGTGTTTTTATGTCGACAATACCCACCTACTCTTAACCCTCTATCCAAACCTAAAATTAAATTAAATACATGTATTACTATACACTTTAAAGGTTTTAAATTAAAACAAAGTGAATGTTTGACCAACATACCTCCAATAACAACTAATGCTGGCCATACATCAAAACATAACTCCTTAGAATTGATTGACTGATCTTGTTCAGCACTTGGATTGTCAACACTTTTTGGAAATAATAAGGAGATTTTGCTTAATTTCTTTAGGAGTGTATTGTTAATGTTTTGGGCCCAAGTATTTGAGTAATGTAATTTTCTTATAACACCAATGTAGGCTTCAATCAATACAGTTGTTTGTGGTGCTAAATTGGGTTCGCCTGGAAGTAAGTCTATTTGGGTGCCATGAACCTACAAGAAAGAATTACACTTATAAATGGCCTGAAAATTTAGAATTAATAACTTTAATAATAACTTCAGAAATTTACTGATTGATATAAGGTGCCATAACAACTGAATTCAATTCATGTGGTGAAAAGAGCCAAGGTTCGGATATTGCAGTAGGGTTTTATAAAGAAAAATATGGTACGCCACTGTAAAAAATGACTTTTTATTCTTTACGTTTTCACGTAATTAAATATTTTGTAAATTCCAGTTTTTTCACAACCTACACAGGTAATTGAACATAATCAAGTAAGCCATGATCTAGTCTTAGAAAATGCCGAATTAAGCATTAAAACGGCATTACCAGACAAAATAAAAGTTAAAATTTGGTTTCCGTATCTTCTAGTCTCTTTGTCTTCTAGTATTCGAAAATTACCAAGGAATCCACCGTTTATTTTTTTCCAACTGACTAAATTACTTGATTATCAAAGTTTGATACATATATTTTAATAATTTACATACAATCGCAAAAGTATTCAAAACATAACGTTCATTTTGCGCCACCCTCTGTATATGCACATTATAAGAGAAACGTACCTTCATATCAGTAATTTTAACCTTTTCTCCAGGACTAGTGCTGTAAAACATAACGCAAGGATACAATTCGGTGGCATCAATGTTCTCAAAAGCAACTCTTGGTTCCTCGCCATTTTTTCCGAAAGCTAGTGTCTTTGCGTCCATGTCCAATACGACAGTTATGTAGTCCCCTTGCGTGTAGCTTTGCAAACTTAGTTCTCGTTCCCCATTGTGGTATAAGCTTCCGCTGTATGCCCTGCACACATAAATTCCTATGTTATCCCAAATATAATATTATTTTTTGTCAATTTTAGGGATTTATAGATACAAATAATCAAAAAAAATAAATAAATATTGTATCCGAAATAATTCCATAAAATTGACAAGCCATACATGTACATTTTGCTATTAAAAAATATCTAACTTGTGTTAAAAATAAAACCCAATGAAGTATTTTACCTGTAAAGCCACATGTCACTGGTGGAACGATGACTGTAGTCTTTTACTGGTAGTTTGGCTATTCCAATGCATGTTCCTTCATTACCACGATTTTCTTTTACAATTAATATTTTCCATTGATAACATCCTGATTGTATAGCTTGAAGCCCAAGGCCATATCCTCTGCCACCAGATCCGTGAACCAATGTTAAGTTACCTACATATTTTGTTTTTTAATACAAACATTGGAATTTTTGGTGTCATATTGAGAAAGAGTTAAAAAAAGGGAACAATGTCATGCTATCCGATACATTTTTTAAAAGTGCAAGGGAAACAATTTTCAGACAGTTTAATATTTTACCTTTATATTATACAGTATAATAAAATATTTATTCCTGATAATCATAAATGTAACGAAAAATGTATCTTGTATATATTTTGCTTTGGATAATTTTAAAAGATACTTAATTTATTTTAACAATTAAAAATTACAACGATATTTCATCTGTTTATACATTTGATTGACACCTCATCGCCCATGTAATATACAGGGTTTAGCAAAAAGGTTGGGAAAAATTAAACAGTGGATTTTATTGTAAAAAATATTTTCATAAAAAATTATACAAGCATATGCTCTATGTGTTTTCCTTTACAAGTTACAGGGTGTTAATTTTTTTTAGCACTAGAAGATAGAAAACGAAATTTTAACTATTGTTTTATTTGGTGAGTCCTTCTCAATGCTTATTCATTTTATAAGACTGGATATTATTAGGGTGGAGGACATAAAACTGGAACCAGGCCAAATGATCTTCGATGTCGTATCTCTTTTTACGAATATATTTATATATATATATATATATAGCGAAGCCTTGGAGACAATTCAAAGAAAACACCCAATCAGTGATGATATCGCAGAGTGTTTGGCAAACATTGCCTCAAGAACGCGTATTTCATATACAACGACCAGAGATAGAAACAAATCGAGGGTGCTCCAATGGGCTCCCCAATATCGCCAGCAATAGCCAACTTATTCATGGAAGACATAGAAGTACGAGCAATCGAAACGGCATCACTAAAACCAAAGATATGGCTAAGGTACGTAGATGACACATTTATCATCTGGACCCACGGAAAAGCGGAACTGAAGAAATTCCTGGACCATCTCAACGGAATTCACAACTAGACCAAGTTCACAATGGAAACCGAGAAAGAACACCAATTACCTTTTCTGGATGTCCTCATAACCAAGAAAAATAATGGCAAACTAGGGAACACGGTCTACAGAAAACCACCACTACCTGTCACAACTGCAGTCAGTTATTAATACACTTGTTACGCGATTCGAAAGGCTGGCGGATGATCATCAAAAGAAACAAGAAGACCTACAAATCCAAACGACGCTACAGCAAAACGGATTCTCCAAACTCATCACCGGTTAAATACCACAGAGAACGAGAACAACAAACCAACTTCGAAGGCCTTTCTTCCCTACGTCAAAGGGACAACCGAAGGAATAGGCAAAGTTCTCAAAAAACATAACATTGAGACCACATTTACCGCCCCAAGAAAGATCGGTCAAATACTTCCAACCTCCAAACCCAAAATAGAGTTGGGAGGCACAAGGGGTTTACGAAATTCCTTGTAAGAATTGTGACGGAAGCTACGTGGGACAGACCAATAGACGTATCAACGTTCGACGCGAAGAACATCGTAACGCAGTCTTAAAACAAGAAAAAACATCTTCCTTAGCTGAACACGTCCGAAAAACTTTCCATGAAATTAACTTTGAAAAAAACAAGGGTCTTGGCTAGCATCGAACACAGGACCAAACATACCATCCGTGAAGCCATTGAAATAGAAATACGTCCAAGAAACCTTAACACAAGAGACGATACACAGAGACTAACAACTGCATGGAAACCAGCTCTTACTACCACCTCAACGCCAAGCAGATTAAAGGTACGGATTCGTTGATGCGACTCGCGGCTGCGAGTACACACAAATTGTACTAAGCAGTGGCGCGGCTAAGGTCGCAGCCGCAAGTCGCAGCCGCGAGTCGCATCAACGAAACTGTACCTTAACGAGATCAATGGAGCCGAACATAACACAGGTTCAATCGCAGTCACGGTTAATGACGCGGAAAGCTAAGAGGGTATATAAACAACGATGAGCGGCAACGGAGCTCACTCTACGTCTAACTCGCAGCAGAGCAGCAACAGCAGCCCAGCAGATAAGACCTGAAGATGGTACATGAGATTGTACCGAAACGTCGTCAGACATACCAAAAACCGACAACACGGAGCAGATCCCGGAAATCCATTAATGCATATATATATATATATATGAGTGGACCGAAAAAAATTTTTTTTTTCCTTAGCCAGGGGGTGGAATTTGTAGCCTATAAAAAAAGAAAATTTTTGAAAAAAAATTTTTACTCAACGTCTTGAGGTGGCCCACTGATTTTTTAAATTAAATTTAAGTTAAAATTCTTTTGAAAAAAAAAATTTTTTTTTGGCTTGTAATCTTCAAATTTATCTAAAAATTAACAAATTTGATCGTGTTCAACTCGAAATTCGCTCTATTGCCTCAGAAAAGCATGTTACTATTTTGGATTTTTTTTAAAAACAACAATAATGACCACAAACAATTTTTTAAGTTCATAACTGTTAATTAGCAAGAAAGAGGACACTCCGCAGTTTCCGGAACACTTTTGAAATTTTTTTATATATATTATATATATATGTATACAATGTATATATTATAGTATATTATACATACATATAATTTTCGATTTTTTAAATTGTTTTTAACAAAATTAATAAGACTTATAAAAAACAGGAAATTAAAAACATGTTAACATTAGGGGGTCAAGACTTTGTGATCTAAAATTCCCAAATAATGTGTGACAAAAACCTATAGAGAATAAAATCAGTTTTTTTTATTATAAAGTTGTAATATAACTAATAATAACAATGGGAATAATGAACTCATTATTCACGCTGTTAGGCAGGGTTCAAAATTGGGAGAATGCGACTATTGGAGTAGATAAACTAAAGATTTTGCGCATTATTCGCTTGGATGATTTAAGTCTCTCGTCTGGCGACTCGAGACGAAAACCTCATCCTTATAAATAATAGCCTGCATTATCTCTCGTATAATAATATAGTATTTTTAATATGATATATATAATAAAAGGATTATTGGAAAAACAAAACGTTAAAATTAATTCCCCAATTTTAAACACAATATTAACTAACCTTCAATAGTACAATTGTATGACTTTTCAATATCAAAACCCATATAATGTACCGGGACATTTCCACCTGTATCTTTACAGATTTTATCTGCCATTTTTCTGGTATTTAGAGAACTTTCTGGTTCTAGATCTTGTGATATTTTTTTTAATGTTTCAGGTATATTCCAGGCTTCCTCACTTAATTGTGAAAATAACTTACTAATGACAGTTTCTTTTATTTCATTACTAGTATTTGAAGATTTGAACCCAGGCAAAATCAATTGGAAAATTTGCAAAACAAGTAATTTGGGTCTAAGAATCTTCAGTTGGCTGGTGTATGAAATATTTGCATTTGAAGTATCAAGAATGCGAATAAATGCTTTTATCCACTTGTTGGATGCAAGCAGCTGCTGGATATTGCGACTGGAAGATATTACACGAAGGAATAATAAAAAATCGCCAAGAGAACGGACACCATCCCTGGGCATATCTTGCATAGTATTTTTAACCAATGTGTCAGAAAATATATCTAGGATTTCTAAAAATTCGGAATGTAGAATGTCTATTACCTTTTCCAATACGGTTGTATCAATTTTCTTTGAGTAAATGCTACATGATAGAGCCAAAACATGAATCAACCTTACTGTTGCTACATTAACTAAATCATGTTTGGTAGAAAAGTCATTTATGGTTTTATTTGTTCTGGTCAGTTTTGTAAGCAGCATAACCAAATCCTTATTAATGACTAACGAAAGGTCATTTGGTTGATATCTCGTACTTAATGCGAATATATATATGAGCAATAGTTGTTTATTTTGAGTATTCAATTGTTGCGAGCGATTGATTTGATCTCTCAGGGATCTCGTTAAAAATTCAAATGTATCGTGAACAAACTTGGAAACTTTTTGTTTAAGTTTGGGCGGAGCAGCCTGTATATCGTCCAAATAATGTTTGCTAAAAGAGAAATTCTCTTCTGCTTTTAAGTTACAAAATCCAAAGGCTCCGGTTAATAGTTGCTGTTGAACGCAATACCACTCGGTGTTTGACGAATTCTTCGATTCCAGCAAAGAAATTAGCTTATCCAAACTAGAAAACCTCGCATTGGCTCTTAGTTTTTGGGCCACTAATGCCATATGTAATACCTGAGTTTCAGTACACCAGCCGTTTTTCTTGTCGCCATAAGTAGTAAGAGGCACTTTTTCTGTTGGCTCATTTAAAATAAAATTCATACAAAATCTACATATTTTTCTCAAATTTTGGAATGCGCTTGATTCTTTTGTATTACTGTAAAAGTCTATGTAAGCCTTTTCCGATTCCATTTCCTCATCGGAGTTACTGTTAAAAGGTATCATTTCAATATCAACACCTACAACAAAGTGGAAAATTTAATATTATTCTACTATGAAGGGTCACTCTAAAGAAGTTAATTTTTTAAAGTGATTTCAAGAAATTAAGTTTATATGAATAGTGATGAGTCCAACGATATTTGCTTAACGCCGCAAACAGGTTTCAAACGCCTTATTACAAAAAACAAGCCTTATTAAATAAAACCAAAAATTAATTAATTTAATTACAAAGCTTTATAATGTATTAATATGTCTTAAATTAAAAACATTTTCAATATGTGGCAAGTTGTAAATATAAGAAAAAATAACAAATTTGTGTTTATTTTGCGTTAAATTATATATAATATTATATATAATAATTGCAAGTCAAGTTTTTTTAAAGGGATATGTGGAAGAAGCACAGAAATAAAAATTCTTTTGCTAGCTATAAGATAATAAACTGTTAGATAAATAAATTTATAAATAAGTATTATAGTACTATAATAAACCAGAAATATTAATTAAAGCAATTTTTCACTATTTAGTAGAGATGGGAATCGGAAAGTTTCCATTTTAAGGAAACTTTCCGTTTTGGAAAGTTTCCAATTGGGAATTTATTTTCATTTTGAAACATTCCTTGGAAACTTTCCTTGTTTTTTTCATTTAAATGTCGTTTAACCGCTGATTGTCGTTAAGGCCATGATACAAGGCCAAGAAACTTTGAATAAGAATTTAATGTGTGTTAATTTAAAGCAGAAGAAGTATAAATAATGTAAGTTATGTTACATAACCTCAATGAAGCCGGATTATTCATCATCATCACAAAAAACTTTTTTTAAAAAAGGTAAACAAAATAAAAACAATAAACAAAGTTAAAATCATTCTTACATTTTTGTTGTTTATTTATAGGCATAGCACAATGCCAAGAAAAAAATCTTGTGTTTGGAATTATTTTTTACTTTACTTTTTACTTTTCAATATTCCTATATATTAGTTACTTTGTCCCTTTTAATTTTTTTTACGTAATATCTAGGATTTACTAGCAGTGAATTTCTAATAGTAAATATTTTATTTTTATTTTGTAGGTTTCAGTATACAATAAGAATATTCCAAAGTAAAAGATACTAAAAATAGTATTGCAGTTACATTCTTATAAACATTTTTTTTATTTTTTTTTCTTAATAAAATTTGACAAAAAGTAAATGTATTATATATTTTTGCAAATCCCTGGTATAAAAAATAATTTTCGCAATAAAAATTTTTTTTTTTTGAAACTTTCGGAAAATTTCGGGAATTTTCGATGGAAAGTTTCCGGGAATTTTCGTCAAATGGGAATTTTCCCATCTCTACTATTTAGCGGTTGACAACTATATAGCGCTTTAATCGCTATTCAGGCCAATTCACTAACTATCAGGCCAATTCACTAACATGAGTTGTTAACGTTAGCCACTAAAATTAGTGGTTTTCGTAATATTTATTCGGTCTGATTGGTCGGATTGGACGATAACCATGTTAGTGAATTGGCCTGATTAGTTGTTAACGCCACTAGAATTAGTGGTTATCGTTATATTTAATCGGCCTGATTGGCCGGATTACCCCAAAACCACTCATTCTAGTGGTTAACGGTAACGACTCATGTTAGTGAAATGGCCTGATAACCCCTCGTCATCCCCTGTTCGGAAGGTTTACCCGCTTGGTGCTTCTCGAAATGGTATTATAATAGTTTTACATAATTCTGGATTAAGCCACTTGAACTAATAATAAAGACACTTTACTGGATTCCTTAGAAATGCATTTTTCGTGCTCGGGTCAGACAAAATCACCCTCTTTAATACGAAATTTTACGTTCTTCATCACATTTTTTCCGTTTTCTCAGGATATACTGGATGGAATTGAATTTTTTCTTTGGATGCACGAGAGGGTTTTAGTCAATTATGTTCAGTATCGATATAGCGAGTGAAAAACCCAAAACTAAAAAAAGGGTTTTGAATTTTTTGACTAATGGTGATTTATTGCATATAACAATTATTAACAATTATTGTAATATCAATATACCTTTTTAATGGTAGCCGAACTGTGTAATCTAAAAATTGCATCAAATGTTATAAAAACCTAACCTCAAAGTTTGTATGGGACAATAAGCTTAAAGCAACTCCCGTTTCTACGACACTGTTCACTCAAACAATTTTAATTATGTGTGAATATTTGTTTTGGAGTAAGTGACTGTTCGCAAAATATCACCTTTCCAAGACTACCATAGTAGAGGTTATATTAAAAAAACTGATATGATAAGTAACACTTTATCACCCTGTATCTTGGAATCATAAGTAGTTAGGAAAAATAATTATTTGGGTTTTCGTCTTATTTTGACTTGCTCAATCTTTTCCTAAATTTATGCCAATAAGTTTAGGGACACCTTGTATAATGCTTTATTTTCCGCCGTTCATAAACTTTTTTTAAAGAAATTTTTCTTCACCTTGCAGAAAAAAAGAAAAACTTGAGCCTTAAAACACATTTAAAACGGAATAATTGTAATTTGCAGAAAAAATTACTTTTGAATTAACCGTAGTATCCGTAGTACGGATATAAAATTGGGAAACTTAATTTTTACTTTGAATATTTTTTTCTATAAACTCGAAAAATTAAAAAAAATTCCATTTCGTACTACACACAAAAAAAACTCAAAATTTTCTGTATTTTCTCCGGTAAATTTTTCCTGAAATTTTAAAACTACATTTGACCAAAAATCTGAAGATGAAGCTGATAATTGGAATAAAATACGTTTCATTTTGCTATTTCGATCCAACTTACCAAAGAAAGCAATAGCTGTGTTGTTATTTAAGTCGCCTAGTTCCAAAACCATCCACTTTTATTAAAATTGAACTTGGTATGTCATCTACATGCGGGAGGTCTAAATTACATTTTTAGATGATAAATATGTTTTAAAACCCGCTTAACACTTGTTTAAATCACTTTAGGAATCTAAGGTTAGATTAAAAATCTCCTAAATCCATATGTAAGTGATATTCAAACATGGCTAAATCCATTGAATAACAAAAACTTCCAAATGAAATTAAACATGTACACAGAAATTCATAAACAAAACCCAGTAAATCCAATTGGATACATTTTGGAGCCTTTTGGAAATGACTGGCAAAAAAAAGCTGAACAAGAAATTTTTTTGTATTACAAAAGCATTGTAACAAGATCTGCAGTCATTGAAGCAGTAAAAAATGAAAATAGTGACGATTTTACTGATTGAAGCAGTTGATCTTATTTGGTAATGCATTAATATTTTCTGATTCAATCAGTAAAATTCAGGTTTTACTGTACAACCTGTGGGATTCACGGAAAAATCAGTAAAATTCCACTGATTCAATTTAAAAGAGCATGTAAATTTTAAACCAAAATCCACTAAAACCAAAGCAATTTTCTAAAACAGCTAAATCTGACAAGTTTTCCAAAAAACCATTAAAGTGGATCCTTTCTTATTTAATATTATACTGCCTATCAATTTTTATGTTCAAAATTCTAGTAGGTAACCTTATTTCATGACCAGCAGCAAACTTTCGCGTTTCCTCTATAAAACGTTAAGGAGGATTTAGAGGGTTTTGAAACTAGGCGAGTATTTTTACTCAATAAAAAATCGTTTAAATTAAAAATAAAATAAAAACATACCTTTAACATATATTATTAAAAATAAACAACGTTCCAACATTTTCTTGCAGTTTATATGAAAAGAAAGCTCATTATTTGTTTCAGACTCATTTTTAACATCACAGATAACATTTGACTTTTCATATTCTATTTCTTGCTCTTTGTTTTTATCTTCAGTGCTGATAAATTTAGTGTTGCACATTAAATTAATCAATTTATGCCTTAATCCAAAAACATTTTTAAAAATTTCCTTAACAACAGGATGATCTGGAGGTTTTTGCAAAGAACCGGTTTGTTTTAAAACCGTTGTTAAAAAACACCTCACCACAGCATCCAATAATTTTCCAGCGTCATCATCCGACTCCCAAGGTTCTATGTCGGAATGGTCCAAAAAAGATAAATAAAAATCATATTCATTTTCTTCCGTTTCTTCGGATGACGTTCCACAAGCCTCATCATATTGGCAGGGAATGTTTAAAGCCATTTTAACGTAAGTTTGTACTTGCTCCGGTAATATGTCCAAAAATGCTGATACATTTATACTGTCAAAGAGAGAGCATGACGTCAGCGTATAAACTGGTATTTCTTCATTTTCTATACCGCAAGAAAATATCACATTGCCAAGCCAATTGCGGCAATAATTTTCAGCGGAACATGGTGGTTCACCCACCAGCATACAGCCAAAACAGTGACCTATTAGCAGCGAACAAACACGTTCCAAATCAATTATCCAAATCCATGATTGTTCCGATAGTTGAGACAGGGTTGGTGTTTCAGGCCCTTTAAAGGTAAGCACGGTAAACAAGTTTGTCAAATTTTAAAGTTTATAAGTATTTACATAATATTGTAATAATTATTTAACGACAGAATAAATCGATTATAAACTACCACTTACTTATAGCCAATACTTACTGGTTTCCTCACAATCCATTAAAATATCTGGAGGCAGCATTTTGTTGAAGTTGTCCAGTGGATCAAGTATAAACAATAGTAAATTTAAATAATTTTTAACAAATGCAACGGGCATCAACAGCAATGAACTAAACATTTTGAACAGCATCGATCCAGCCACCGAATCCAACAGAACGTTGTACATTAAATCCAAGCAGTCCGGATGTTCCGTGATAATTTCGCTGGCCTTGCAGAATATTTTTACAGCCAAATTAAACATTTGAGTGAGGTGGTTGTTGAGAATTTCCATGTTTGACATGCTAATACGGCTACGGGAGTGCGTGTAATGTGCAAGCAGGTGGTTTTGCAGCGACGACAGTAATTTTTGCAGTTTTACTGTCTCGGTATTACTAGGACAATGCCATTTTGTTTGCGTCTTATCTTCCATAAAGTTACTGATGCTATCCAATGTTTTTAACTAAAATATATTCGTGTTTAATATCAGGCAGACGCACTTAATAAAGTCAATGGTTATCCAAATAACAAAATTATTGACAACTATTTTTAAGTTAAATTTAAAGTTTTATGCCAATATTTTTATATGCCAACAAAAAATATTGACTGTATTCAAAGCACTTTACAGTGAGTTGAAGATTTGCAGTGGCGGCTGGTGGATTTTAGGCACACCCATATCTCAGTTATTAGACATGGGACCCACATCAAAATTTATATGAGTTTACAATGACCCCCCAGCCTCCTGCCCCCCAAATTAAGATAATTCAAATTAAAGTGCTTTATCGACAAATTTCAAATTTTATTAAAAAATTTCAAGAATTACAGATTTTATACTGTTTTAAATTTTTATTATTTCTTTTACTAAATTAAAAAAAAATAGAAATGGTATAAAATCTGTAATACTTGAATTTTTTAATGAAATTTAAAATATGTCGATAAACTACAGTGAATTAAATATTGTACCACTTTAATTTGAATTATCTTAATTTCGGGGGCAGGAGGCTGGGGGGGGGAACACTTAAAAACCAACTTTTTTCGGAAACTTCGATTTGAATCCTGCTTGCGCAGAACTTGTCTATATAATGTCATTATAAACTTATATAAATTTGATGTGGGTCCCATGCCTAATAACTGAGATATGGGTGTGCCCAAAATCCACCAGCCACCACTAAAGATTTGAACTCTTGTTGGAGGTATAGACTATATATATTCAATGTTGTGATAAATAAATGCCTGTTGATGATATTGAGCACGTGAATGCTTTTTATTTTGTTTTTAAACTCTAAGTGTCAAATTCTTTCTGACGACTGTAATAACTATACTATTAGAGTTACGTGAAAGAGTGGCTGTACAAGCTAAACTATAAGTGATACAAAAAAATATTTTTTAACAAATTTGTAGGGCAAAAAATTCCCTACAAAATAGTTGTTTACGTTTTTTATCTACAATCAATAGTTTAGTCTCCAAATACGATTTACTGCTATTTTAGAAGATTTTCGAGTAGAACGACAATTTGTGAAGAACATATTCAACTTACAGACTTGCTTAATTGGACATTTTTGAAGATAATTTCATCATGTATAAAGATTTTAGAATCGAAATTCGAAAAAAATATTCTTACTGTACGAGCGGAAGGAGAAAAGAATAAAACATTGGGAAATATTTAAAAATTGAATAGCAACGGCTTAAAATACAGATTAAGAGCATTGTAATAGCTCAAAATTTTTGTTTTCTGACCGGGTACAAAATTTTTAGGTGGGACTTTGAAAAAAAATGTTGCTTTAAAATGAAGCACCCTACCCAAGTAACACTGGTCCATCTAAATCACATAAATTAGATGTCATAAACCGTCCAAAAGCGTCTATAAATAAAATCCAATGTATAAAATATGTCTTTTTGGAAATTTTATTTAGAGTTTGTCTAATTTACGTCATTTAGGCTATATTTGTGCTCGTAAAATATACATTTATTGTTAGTATGTCTATTAGACTTAATAAATATGATATCTTATGGAATAATTATATAGACTAAAAAATAATTAACATTATAAACATCTTAAAAAAAATGAACAAAAATAAAACGTTAATATATTTACAAATTTAAGAAGTAAATAAATTGATGTAAATTAGATTATCATTTTTACACATTTCCTCTTTAAAGAGATAAATAATAGGTCAGATTGTGGACATCCTAAAGAGGTTAACACATATAGGTATAAAAAATTTATAAAAATAAATGTTTTATATTTTTTAAACAATATGGTTATTAAATTATGTGATATTTGTAAAAAGGTATTATATTTTAAATAAACTAAAAGACTTTGTTTTTAGAGGTGAATTTTATGTAATACTTTAGATTTTAAACATTTTGATTGATCTAATGACCTAATTTATGTATAATGGTAGACATTCTGTAGTCTCACAATAATTGGCATTAAAAATATATTTTTGTTGTACAAAAACCAAATAATTACATGTGTAGACGGCAATTAGAAAAACATGTTGTCGTCTTTTATATAGTGAGTGTTAAATTATGGTACTATTTTAAGAATTATTATGTGACTTGCCAATAAATAAAAATTAGCTACCCATATTAGGTACGTAAATAAATAATATAAAAATAATAAAATATTTTTATTTTCTTTACTTTACAAGTTTAATTCAAAATACCATTTTTTAATCTTCTTAATAAAAAATAATAAAGAATGTAATGACTGATTAATACAATTAATTTAAAATGATAATTAGGAGATAGACTTAAAAGTATCTAATTATAGTACATTTTTAGATTTACCAAGGTAATTTATACCGAATATGGTCAAAAATCTATAGGTTTCTTATTTTATTGCAATTATACCTATATTAATTTTAAAAAATGTTTAGTCAAATATAAAGAAAAATAATTAATCTAAAAAGCATCTACACCTAGATTTTCTTTAATACCAAGCGAAAATTATTACCTAAAAAATAAATTATTCTAAATTTTACTTTGGATTGCCATTTTAAGTGCTTTTACTCACAAAACCAAAAAAATTAAACTATTATTGCAAAAAAATAAAAACAAATTGGATTGAAGTTAATCTAAAAAACATCTACCTAATTATAGAAAATATTCAGAAACATGCCTTTGAATTGTAATTTTATAATTTTCTCTTACTTTTCTTTTGCATTATTATGTTTATTCTTCTTATTTATTAAAGATAAGAATAATAATAATGTGTAAAGTATCTGTGGGTGTGAACAGAAGAGTGCTTAAAAATAAAAAAAATTGTAGTTAAATATTTAATTTAAGGTGTTAGTGATACGGCGATTTTAGATATGGTTCCACCAGTTAAGTATTTTATTTTTTAATTTAAAAATATTATTTGTTTTATCATTTGTACCATTTTTTATTAATCTACAAAATGTTGCAGTACCTAACCATAAAGCCTGATTTATAGATTGCCTTTCTTCCTTCCTCTCTTCCTCACGAAAAAGATCAACAATACAAAAACCGTTGTGCTGTTTATAGATTCCCGTAAGGCAATCTATAAATGGCACTACGATTTTCGAATTGTTCATCTTTTGCGGGAGGAAGGAAGGAAGGAATCTATAAATCAGGCTTAAGACTGGTCCGGCAGCCTGTCACAGCCATTGCCCTATTTCAATATAAAATTCAGTACCACATAGTAAACCAAAAATACGTAATATTGTAACAGTTTAATCTAAAAACTTTTTAGAATAAACCAAAACAAGCGTATTAAGTAAAATGGCGAATCGACGCATAAATTGGTCTTTGAATTTTATAAGCTCCATCTTCCGGCATTACCGCTAATTAATAAATTGAATTCTATTCAGAGTTTTAAACTCGTGGCCCTCTATGCTGGGAAACCGAGAAATTAGAGCGAGAAAGACTCATACAAACTCACGTTAGTAGAAAGAGATAAATTTGTACGACCAATCAGGCAATCTACCTCCCACTTTGTTCTCATCTGTCACAGAGTGTGCTCTGTGGTCAGTTCTAATTTGGTAGTCGTTCGTTAATGACGTTGTTAAATAGCGTCGAATAGCATCATCTAAATCTCATCTATAAGTAAGTACTTTTAAAAAAAGTAGTTTTGCATGCATTTGAAATTTAATTTTAATAGTTAATAATAATTATAGCGCGAAAGGTTTCCAGCGATTACATAAAAATGATTATATTGTGATATTATAGTTATTTTTTGCACATGTATAAAGATAAGTGTTTCCTTTTTTAACTCTGATTTTTGTAAACATTTTGACGTCATCGCTGGAAAAGTTCCGCGGTATAATAATAATGCTAAGACAACAAGGTATGATTAGTTGGCGAACCAATTTTAGACGGTTGGTATATAGGAATTTACCTTTTAATTTGAAAGTTTCGTTGTTTCTACTGAAAATTATTTAAGTATACTTAATAAAAAACAGTATCTTTACATAACATTATAATATGAATATCTTTATTTAATTTTTACCTTATAAATAAAAGTAATTTTACACAGCATATCAGCCTATGTTGTGTAAAGTAACTCTTTTTTATTTGTATTATTACAGGGAACAATTGAATACGGATATTATGCTGAGCATAATATCCGTATTCAATTGTTCCCTGTAATAATACAAATAAAAAAGAGTTACTTTACACAACATAATATATTAGTATCATGGTTCTCTGTGTTCAGTACTAATTCGGTAGTCGTTTGTTAATGACGTTGTTGAATAGCGTTAAATTGCATCATCTAAATCTCATCTATACGTTTGTAGGGGTGGGCAAAATAATCGATTAATCGATTATTAATAGATATCAAACCGCCGATTATTTTCATAATAATCGATTATTTGATTAATCGACTATTGATTAATAATAATAATAATAATAATATTTATTCAACGGTAAATAACCAATACATCGAATAATCGATTAGTTGATTAATCGATTATAATCAACTAATCGATTATTCGATTATTTTATTATTATAATAATAATTATTATTATTTTAAATAAAGAATTTAAACATTATGCCCAATATTTAATTGCCATACCTAATTATGAAAACGTAATAATTATTATAATTAATTAATTGTTATAATTAAAACAATCAAATATGTAAAAAAAATAATATGACCAATTGACCATTTTTTTAACTAAACAAAATAAAAATAGTTATTTTTTAGAAAACCCATTTTTATGATTTATGCTGGGTTTAAAAAATGCTTCTAAAAATTTTAAACTTTTCAGGCCATAAGTATTAAAAAAACAAGATTATATAATAATTTAATCGATTAATCAGTAATTGATTAATCAAATAATCGATTACTTAAATAGTCGATTAATCCAACAATCGATTAATCAATAACCGATTATAATCAAAAAATCGATTATGAATTTCGATAAACGCCCAGCCCTATAAGTAAGTACTTTTAAAAAAAGTAGTTTAATTTTGCACGCATTTGAAATTTGATT